AAAATTTTAAAATAAATTGAAAAATTATAAAACGTATTATTTTAAAGCTAAAATTAAATTTAATACTTTTATTATACGTGTAATTAAATATAATTAAAGTTATTTTATTAATATAATTTTTATTTATTTATTTATTAGATTTATAAAATAAAATTTATATTTTTAAAAAAAAATATATATTAAAATAAATTATTATAGCTTAACAAAAGACGGCAATATTAAAAATAATTATAATATTTATTATATTACTTATAGAAGATATTAAAATAAGTTTCTCCTTATTTTTACCATTTTTCGTTAATTAATTATAAAAGATTGAAAAATCACTGTTTTGCGGGGAATCCTGTTGCAAAAGGGGGTGCGTTGCATAAGTGGGTCCGACTGGTTAGGTGGGTATGGCAGATCCCTCTACTTAAGTATGAGACATCATCAGATCGTATACACAGATGCATCACTACGCGCAAGGGCGACCGATCAATGGAAATAAAGCTCTGATCATAAAGGAAACCATGTCGCTTGTACAGAGTATTATCGGCGGAAAAATAAATAGATGAATCATGAAGTGATTTCATGAAAATAGGACCAAGTCAACCTTGTGCTCCCAGAGATGTTGGGGATTTAATGAATGAGGTGCAAATATTTGAAAGGTGGACAACATGCGACTCATCAATATGGAAGCCAGGAACCGCAATCATCATTATGACTGCATGAGTTGCCCTAGGTGTAGGTTCTCTGGCGCCTCTTCGGGGACACATGTGTGCCTAGCTTACTACCATTCAAGTAATTACCCCTCCGGAACCGGCAAAATTGCTCGGAAAGCGTCACTGGAAGCCACCTATCTGAGCACACCCAAACGGGCTGGCAGCGTTCATCCACTCACAGCTCGCCCACCAAGGAAGGTACCTACCGCCGATTATTAGTGCAGCCGCTGCAGTCAGTACCTTGATCACACTGCAATCGTAAATCGCCAAACTGCTTCACTAAAAAGGTACCTTGACGGCTTCGAGCGGCTCTCATTGGGCGCCGACAAGTAGGCTTCATCGCATCCTCTGGTTGCATTGCCAACGAATGCCAGTCTTTGTTTCTCGTTTTGATCTCCTCATCTCGAGATTTCTCTACCTGAATAAAGAGGCGCTGCTGTCATTTTCTCACCACTGCGCCCGTTCGCGCCTCTTTGCCCTCAATTTCCGACCCCGCCGTCGACCACCGAGTACCTTCTGCCTTGGCTCGCAATAGCAGGGCAGAAACCTCAACCTTCTCACCGATGCCGACCGCAGCTCGAGCGCTCTGCCACATCCACCACAGTGGGCACGCGATCCCATAGCGGTGGTCGCCGGCTGTACGAATGTAGTGCCAATCATTCAAGAAATCACACACGACCTATTTTCGATTGGGCTATCCATCATGGATCGCCCAAGAAGACGTGAGTTTGCCGCGCTCGCCCAGAGTGCTACCCAGCTCTTGCATGATTGACGCTTCCAATGCTGACGAACATCCAGGCGAGTTGCGCTCGCTCAATGAGCGCGCATGGGATGGCGACACAGGTAAGCACACAAATTGAGCGCCTCAAGCTACGTGAAGCAGCATTTGTTCGATTGACATCTGGCACAGGCGTCTTTCCGGTTGGAAAGTCTCTCGACTCGTCTCTCAAGAAGAATACCGCTTTTATCAAACGACTGCGAACTGCAATCTCCTCAGCCACCTTGAACACATTCCTGCAGGAGATCAAGACTCTCAGTTTGACCAAGTACCTCTCCGAAATTATCTCGGCATGCTACGAAGGACTATGCAGGCTCAAAAGCCCAGGCGAAATCGACGCTGGAGTAGAAATTGTCAGCGCGTTGCACCAGCGATTCGGCCCGGCCGACTTCACCGAGTATCTGGGCTGGTTGCTGGGCAAGGGCATGGCTACACCCGACAAGAGTTTGCTCAAAGCTCTGGCGCCCGAGGTTCGCGAAAAGGAAGAGAAGGAGCGCCTGGTCCGCCAACGGGCACTTTTACGTGTGGTCACCGAATTATGGCTCCTCGGCGTGCTCAGAACACTTGATGATGTCAAGCCTGATGGAACTGCTGCCGGCAAGGAGACGGGCCTGAAAACCAAAGCGCCTGGCTCGACAAAGGTTGGTACTACGGAACCATTCCCACTCGAGGTCCTCAAGGACTTGCTGGGCCACGATCGAGAGCATACGAATCTACCTCTTCTTGTGATCTTTGTCAAGACGTTCAGCTGGGATATTCTCGGTGCCAAGTCCTCAGCAGGAGAGGGACGAAAGACTGTTGAAGAAGATGGTGTCACTCGAACCGAGGAAGCCCCCTTGGCCATTGACGGGAGTGACGGCGCTGCCGACAGCACTGACGATCCCCCGATTACCTCTCCCGAGCTCCGAGAACGATTTCGCAACATCCTCAAGCGGTACTTTGACGATGTCACGGCCCATATTCTTCGTGACCAAAAACACATTGCTGCCCAAAAAGGCCGAAACTCCGAGGCTTATGTCAAGTCTGGCGAGGTTTTTGAAGATCGCCAAGCCAATTTCGAACGCCTGCTCAAAGCCCAGGAGCGTCTTGTCAGCAACGCTCAGGTTGTCGCTGAAGCTATCGGTGCTGAAATGCCTGATCTGAAGGATGCTGGTGACGCTCTAGGTGCGTCAAATGGCTCCATTGGTCTGGTGAAAACTGGCGACTACCTCCGCGGACAAAGCGACGGGGCCGGCATCTGGGAGGACGATGAGGAACGGCGCTTCTATGAAAACCTCGTCGATTTAAAAGGCAAGGTACCTGGCATTCTCCTTGAGGATGGAAAGAAGAAAAAGTCCGATACCGACGAGCAAGTTGGAAAGAAAGCGGATATGAATGACGTTCAGGATGCGCCCAAGCCCGCTGAAGGTGCCGATGATCAGTCTACAGCCATTGCCAATAAGACTATTGGAGCACAAGTCGACGCTCTGCTGACACGTCTTCCCGAGCTTACCAACAAGGACGCGGTTGACGATACTGCTATTGACTTTTGCTTCTTGAATTCAAAGGCATCCCGAAACCGTTTGATCAAGGCCTTGACCGAGGTACCCAAAGGACGAACCGATTTGCTTCCATTCTGGGCGCGGCTGATAGCTACACTCGGCCGATATATGCCTGATATACCCAAGGGCGTGGTCGAGTATCTGGACGCGGAGTTCCGAAGTCTCCAACGGCGCAAGGAGAAAGACTTCCTTGGACAGGTCCGACTGAGCAATATCCGCTACCTTGCGGAATTGACCAAGTTCGGCATCGTTCCAGAACATGTGGTATTCCACTGCCTGAAAGTGAGCCTGGACGATTTTTCCCGGATGAATATCGAGATTATTTGCAATTTGCTCGAAAATTGTGGTCGCTACCTACTGCGCAGCGCTGAGACCTCTCCTCGGATGGCGACATTCTTGGAAACCCTCCAGCGCAAGAAGTCCGTGCAGCATATAGGACAGCAGGAACGCATGCTCATTGAGAATGCGGTCTATTATGTTGACCCTCCTGAGCGGTCTGCCATTCAGCAGAAGGAACGCACGCCTACTGAGCTGTTCATTCGCAAGCTCGTCTATGTAGACATGACCAAACGAAACTATACCAAGATACTCAAGCAGATCCGCAGATTGCACTGGGAAGAGCCCGATGTTGTTGCAATCCTCGCCAAAGTGTTTTCGAAGCCTGGCAAGGTTAAGTACGGCAGCATCCACATTTTGGCGATCCTTCTCAGCGCTGTATATCGCTACCATCCGGGTTTTGTGCTCAGGGTAATCGACAACGTCCTAGACTCAGTCATGTTGGGTCTCGAGCACAACGATTTCAAGTACAACCAAAAGCGGATTGCGGAGATCAAGTATCTGAGTGAGCTCTACAATTATAGAATGCTGGAACACCCTGTCATCTTTGACACCTTGTACAAGATCACGACTTTTGGTCATGGTGAGCCCCTTCTTAACTTCTCAATGCCAATCCATTACTAACATCCTCTAGGCGGTGCACCTCTCCCTGGGCGCATGAACCCCTTTGACTTGCCTGATGATTACTTTCGCATTCGACTTGTCGCTACTGTACTAGAGACCTGCGGAATGTACTTCAGCAAAGGACCAGCTGGCAAGAAGCTCGATTACTTTCTTTCCTTCCTTCAGGTAAATTTTACTGACAATTGACCTTGATATGTGTGCTAACTGTCCATAGTATTACATCTACACCAAGGCGCCTCTCCCCATGGATATTGAATTCATTGTGCAAGATGTCTACTCTCTTACGCGACCCCAGTGGAAACTTGCCACATCTCTCGAGGAAGCATCAAAGGCTTTTCAACTGGCTATTGCCCAGGATCAAAAGAATGCCGGTGTGGACGGTGCTGCCGATCCAGATCCTGAAGCCGAGGACGATGCAGAGAGTGTAGCATCTTCTGATGATGAGGGTGACGGAGATGGTATTATGCCAGAGGCTGACGGCGAGGAAGATGCAAACTCTGATGATGATGAAGGCCACGAACTTGATGTAAGAGACTTCCGGGTATTGAGATCTGGGGGCTCGAGCGCTAATCACTTCCTCCGTAGGACAAATCTTCTGGAGACTCTGAATCAGAAGAAGAGGAAGAAATCGTTGTGACTAGGGAGACAGGAACGATTGATCCGGAAGAAGAGGCCGACTTTGAACGCGAGTATGCGAAAATGATGGCTGAGAGCTTGGAATCGCGGAAATTTGACCGCAAGCCGCTCTTCGATGTCCCTCTTCCCATGCGATCCTCCAAGACCCGGGAGGCTCCAAAGACACAAGAAGTCGAAAACCCTGCCAACATGATGGCCTTTTCATTGCTTACCAAGAAGGGCAATCGTCAGCAAGTAAGTACTCACTCCGACCGCAAATCTGTAGTGCCCAGGAGTTGACATTTACAGACTCGAACGGTTGAACTTCCATCGGACTCCACCTTTGCTGTTGCCATGAAAACCCAGCAGCAAGCAGAGCGAGAGGAGCAGCAACGCATCAAGAACCTGGTTCTTAATTATGATCTTCGTGAGAGCGAAGACCCTGATGGTGATACTACCACGACACCCCTCATCAAGAATTCCAATATTCACAACAGAATGAAAGCAGGCCCCGAGAAGACAACTACGTATCACATCAACCGCCCTGAAAAGCAGGGTAAAGATCGAGGCGGACAAAGAGTCCGCAGGCTTGAGATGAACGACTTGGACTGGTATGGTAACACCCGTGATAACAATCAGCAGGCAGCTTCACATGTCGAGCCTTCCACCAGAGTGGAGGCAAGTGGTGAGATCGGCTTTCCCAGCAAGCGCAGAGAAAGGGTTCCAGGATCTCAGGCTCGATACCGAAAACAAGCCTATGCCGGTCAAAGAGCCCGCGCCGCCTCATAATGCACAACTAACAAACGGCCTGTTGGGCAATCTCTTCTAGGACATGATTGGGTGGTCATTGCATACCCATAATATTCTTCTTTCCAAGTTGCGTATCTTTTGCGATGCCACTCCTGCGACGTGGAAGCGTGCTTTGAAGTACTCATGCTAGTGCTACTAAGACGCATGCCAGTCAACGCACATAACCTCGGCGGCAAACGCGCATTGGATCATCACCTCCCCGTTGTTCAGCGCATGGCACAATGCTCGGAGCATCGGCGGAATCGCGCTCGCCAGTGACCTGCTGTCCCCGATCACTTCGAGATAACTGCTACCAGGAAACAGATTCCCTACATTGAGGAAGACGCTGTCTACGTTGCCTCCGGCGATGTGTATCTCCGCACAAGCTTGAATGATGGATATTCAAAAGAGCATCCAATTGCGATAGCGTGGAAGAAAGCTGCATAGAGTCAGTTAGACGCAAGTTCTTTGGAGCATGGCATCTAATATGCTACGGAGGCATGGCAACAGCTTGTACTCGACTTGTTTGAGGACATTGGTTTAGATTGCTTCGCTAATAATAATCTTCCCGCTCGCTGCAATGCCAGAGCACGCAAAATGGGACGGCACGGCCACCGGTCGAACCTTTCGCGGTATCTGGCAAGCAGATCATCTACCTACGTACCTCCCTACAGATAGTAATAAGCATTCATACCATCTGTCACTTTTGCTGCCCATTTGGACGCAGTTTCTCCAAGGTTTGTGCCATTGTAACTCATGAAAAAAGTCACGTCACCACACAAAAGATGGAAAAGGTTATACAGTAGAAGCAATAGCAAGTTTAAAGTTCCATTACGCCAAGCAGGTTGGGTGGTTTCAATGGTGGGCCGCCACCTTTTTGGATAGAAGCCGGCAGCGCAGGTCAGAGTAGGCAAAGCTCCACTTCCAGAGAGGGCCGCCGGGTAAAATGCTTATTACGTGTATACGTACATTACTAGGTATATATTTTTGGTGCCTATGTTGGGTAGGATTGATCAATTCATCAGTTGACGCAGAAGACAGACTTCCTTTTTTTTTTTCCCCTTCTTAATTTCATTGCTTTCCATGCAGCAGTCACTGTCGCAACTGCGACCTTACAGGCGAAGTAACTTGCCTCTCTCCTGACGAAAGGGGCAAACGAGAGAAAGCATCGTGTTGAGACGAAAACAGAAATGGATTGAGACGTCAAATGTGCAGTCATGCAAAGCTACCTACCTGTGTACGTAGAAATGTACCTGATCAACATACGTTAAACCCCTGGCTAACAGTAGAGGACGCATGTACTAAATAGCCTGTAACTTTGAAAGCTCTTGGTGCTTGCTAGAACTCGGGGCCCTAGCAATCGACCGTCTACCGCCGCCTGAAACTGGCGCCTGCCTCCCCCACATTTTCCTTCCTTGAACCACTTGCGCCTCGTGTCGATTATTTTATCTGCTTCTTGGCGTCTCTTTTTCAGATTCATCGAGAGCCAGCTACAGCAAGCAGGATCTATCGACACTCCAAGATCCAGTCCTACTCACTCTAATTAACTGGCTGGGTGCCGAATAGGAGTTTTGACGTGCCCCAGCTCCGCCGAGCGTCAGGTCCCTCGCCTGAACAGCCGACCGACCTGCATATCTCCGAATCAGATCCCACCTCAAGTAAGGGCCGGGAAACTTCCATCATTGCTTCTCTGTGTCTAGGCAACTAGGCTCGTGTAATCCCAGCCTCTTGCAGGGAGAGGCGAAAACTTTGCTGCACAGTAAAAGGCTTCCAGTCAGCTCGTCATATATCCGGACCCAATCACATCGCCTCAGACCCCTCAGGTCGACAGTCCCGTGGTTACGCAGAGCCCTGATTAATATATGCAAAGGCAGACCTGACGAATTGGGTTTATAAATGACCCATGGCCCAATGGTATGTACACGTCTCGAAAAGACATACCTACGGAATACGCATCACGGCAGTAAGAGCTGCAGACACGGAAACACCATCAGTTGGGCAATGTTTGGCAGTACTGTATGTAGTCTTTTCACGCGGTCAAGCAGTCAATAGGCAAGAGTCGAAGCGGCCATGCCAAGGTGGCTAGACAACGCACACAGACAACCAAGACACACTTTGGGCTGCATTCTCGGAAATACGCTTGTCGATGACCTCGGTTTTCTTCTCTCGTTTCTTTTTCTCCCAACCCTCGAGCCTCTCATCAAATGGCCTGTGTGGCAAGTCGTAGCGCCAAACACTCCAGCCTCGACAAATCGATATTGGCCTATTATCCGTGCATATTTCCGCCGATCCCAAAGCTTGCGAAGCGCGCAATGTCTACCACTAGCCGTCTGAAAAGTATCAAGAGCCATTCGCCCTCTTTCGCTCGTAAAGTCATGTGTACTCAAGGTCTTCATGATGTGCTGAGATGAATAAACTTGCAAAAGCCGTCATTGAAAATCTTCCAAATTGTATCGAGGATGAATCCCATGGATGGATAGATTGCGCAGCCTCTTACCACTGTTCATACCCCCCTGGCTACCTCACCAACAACCACCATCGACTGGGAACAGACCAACAGCCGCCCGATCGGCCCACTTCTATACCTGATCTAGAACGGTGCAACAGGTCATACAAACTTAGGCTCTACTATTTCTGGACGACCCGTTTCGTCCGGAGTATACAGATCTCAAAAGCCTGGGCCCTCCTCCGCACATCCAGCGATCCAAGGTCCCATCCATGGGTTATGATTCCCGTCGCACGGTTCCACATCGCGGAAACTGCTTGCTGGCTTGACCCAGAAAGTGCCTTGGATGCGACAAGCTAGTTGTTGATACCATTACAAACGGGTGATTCATCCGAACTTCCTGGCTCTGGGCCAGCTACTTCTTAACAGAGCCGTGCTCGCACTCGAACATATCGTCTACGTTTCAACTCTACATCCCCGACATTGCTTGCTCATTCTCGGCCACCAGAGCCAGCCAGACTCATACTTTCGTTCAATCTCCAATTAGTTGCTACTACCTTTCTTTCATCGTTGGCACTGGATCTGTCATTCCTTTCAATGCTCCTGGAGATTCGGAGAACTTGAGTACGGAGTTCGGACCAATCTCCAGTGCCATTATTCCATTAATATCGATTCTGCATGTTCCCTGCTGCCTTTCTGCCGTCAAGCAGTGACGCCCATTACTCGGAACCACGTACCAACGGTTAAAGAATATTGGACGCAAGTCGGAGCAAGCTCGTATTTTATCCCCGACATTGCCCAGTCTTTGGCCCCAGTATCTGCAATTCCTCCACGTGTATGCCACCTGGGTACGAGCATTGTATTACATTCGCCGTCGCCAGCTTCCGGCAACCGGCCAACGGCCACGCCTCGGTCGACCCACGGGCCTGGGTGGAATAATTGTTTTTTCCCCAGCACACGTCTTGTGCCAAAGAAAACAAACCCTAGAAGACATTGCATCGCCCCTGTGTCAAATACGGTGTGTTGAGCTACGAGGCGTCATTGACCAATCATATCCCACAAACTCCCTTGCATATTCCTGCAAGCACCCGACGACAATCCGACCTGAGCACTCTCGTTTTTCATAAATAACCCGACAGATCTTTTTTTAATCCTGCACGGCAGACTGCAGAACCAAGGCTGGACTTTCTGATCCGAGCGTGGCGGTTCCACAGCGACGACACTCTAATACTTAAAAATCACAACCGCCGCCATAGCAACAACCTCTGCTTGAGGCTTGTCACATTCATTCCATCTTCAATATGTCGTCGGACCTAGACATTACCAAGCCATGGCCAGTCCATGAGGTAAGATCACATGAGTCTGGGAATGCGAGAATGTGAAAACTGATCAATTTGACAAGATCGTCTACACTGCGATCGTCGGCACGCTCATGCTGGCTGCTGTCCTCGAGTGGATATTATGGATTGCCGCCTTCTTGTACTGCTTGATCAAGGTCTTTCAAAAAGCTGAACATTGGACCATAAGGGTGCTGGCTGTCATCATTGGCGTATTATTCACACTGTTACGGTATGCCTCTCTGTTCATTTGTCGACGTGACGGGGTGAAAGCTAATCAAAACCCAGCGCCATTTTCTTGCCGATCATGGTCGTCACACTCCCACTACCAAGTGTCATTGTGCAGTACTGGCCCGAAGAAATGGTCGTAGTCCTCCAATGGTTCGCATTTTGGAGTTTTGCTGGTCTTTTGACCGTGCCATGGCTGTTCTGTGTCTATCAACTTGTCACGCACCAACTAGGCAGGACAAAGCGCATCAAGAAAGTCCTGGACGAGGTCTCTGCCCCCAAGGTCGTCATCGTGATGCCTTGTTACAAGGAAGATCCAGATGTTCTAGTCACGGCCATCAACTCAGTGGTAGACTGCGACTATCCTCCTTCCTGTATCCATGTCTTCCTGTCTTTTGACGGAGATCAAGAAGACGAGCTGTACCTCAACACCATTGAAAAGCTTGGTGTGCCACTAACCCTCGAATCGTACCCAAAGAGCATCGATGTTACTTACAGAGCTGCTCGCATCACTGTCTCTCGATTCCCACACGGCGGAAAGCGACATTGCCAAAAGTCTACTTACAAACTGATCGACAAGGTGTACACTGGTTATCTTAAGCGCAACGACAATCTTTTCGTTCTTTTCATTGACTCCGACTGCATTCTTGATCGCGTTTGTCTTCAGAACTTCATCTACGACATGGAGTTGAGCCCTGGAAACCACAGAGATATGTTGGCCATGACTGGTGTCATCACTTCTACAACCAAGTCGCACAGTGTTATTACTCTGCTTCAGGATATGGAGTATATCCACGGCCAACTTTTCGAGAGAACTGTCGAGTCTGGATGCGGAGCTGTCACTTGTTTACCAGGTGCCTTGACCATGCTCCGATTCTCGGCCTTCCGACGCATGGCCAAATACTACTTTGCCGACAAGGCGGAAGAATGCGAGGACCTCTTCGACTTTGCCAAGAGCCATCTAGGAGAGGATCGGTGGCTCACTCACCTGTTCATGATCGGTGCAAAGAAGCGGTACCAGATTCAGATGTGCACATCAGCCTTTTGCAAGACGGAGGCAGTGCAGACAGTGGCATCGCTGATCAAGCAAAGACGACGATGGTTCCTCGGTTTCATCACGAATGAAGTCTGCATGCTGACTGATTGGCGTTTGTGGAAACGGTACCCAATTTTGCTCGTGGTCCGATTCATGCAGAATACTATTCGAACGACAGCACTACTCTTCTTCATCATGGTCTTGGCCATCATCACAACAACAAAGAAGGTGTCCGACTTACCAGTTGGATTCATTGCCATCTCGCTCGGATTAAACTGGCTCATGATGATCTACTTTGGTATGAAGCTCAAGCGCTTCAAGATATGGTTGTATCCCATGATGTTTGTTTTGAATCCATTCTTCAACTGGTACTACATGGTATACGGTATCTTTACTGCAGGCCAACGCACCTGGGGAGGCCCCCGTGCAGACGCTGCCAAGGCAGATGAGGGCACCACACCGCAGCAGGCTGTCGAACAGGCAGAGAAGCAAGGCGACGAGCTCAACGTTGTCCCAGAGACTTTCATTCCCGCGGTCGAGAAGAAGTCCTCCATCAAGCGATCCAAGAGCAAGTTGCAGCCACCAGAGAAGGCAGAGGGCAAGTTTGCTGTTCGGGAGAGGAAGCCCAATGGCTTCTATGCTCATCCAGAAGAGTCAGTGTACAGTGTCAACTTATTGGCTGGCTCATCTTCCGAACTGCCTACACATCGTTACGAACTTCCCCATCGCGACTCATGGGAAAGTTTCATGAATGGTGCTTCAGGAAATCAGTCAGTCTACTTCCCGCGCAGGGTTGAGAGTATAATGGGCGAAGAGGATCGCAAGAAGTACGAGATGGCACAGCAGAATCAGTACAATCAGTTCTTGGGCAAGTCGAAACAGTTCGCCGTTCCGCCGCCTGGCCAAGTCTATGAGATATCCGATACCGAGCTCAATAAAGCCGGATGGACGGATCCAGTAGATGCTCCATACTCTGACAATGTCCCGGACAGCCATCAGCGAAAGGGAAGCGCCGCTAGTAGCAGCAAGGACTTTGACACAGCGGAGATCGAGCATGCCAACGAACCACGGGGGCAACGAGGGTCGCCACTTGGCGTGCCGGGCACTGCACAGAATCGCCCTCGGAACGGACGCAGTCCACTGGGTCGCGCGAGCTGGATGAGAACTTCCGCGGCTGATGAGCTTGAGATGGATGGCCTAGAGTCAGAGTCGAGAGATGCGTCTCCAGCCCCGTCATTTTCTACCAAGCAAGGCGATTCGCGAAAGTCCAAGTAGACTCTTCTCAAGGAAGTTGATGTATATGCACGACGTTATGGTATAGAAAAGGGGCAGCATCATAGGCAAAATTAGGGCATCGATTTGATGATGAATACATTAATATCTCAAGAATCACAGTAAAGTGCAGTGCAGTTATACTGTGGTCCACGTTTCGTTCCGAGCTGTTTACTTGTGACGTTGGTTACATCTTTGCTGCTGCTAAACAAGGAAAACGAAGCAGACTAAACAAATAATCTCCTGAGGACCATTATCTATATTGACACCCCCCAGGAAATTTACTCTGGCCTGGGGTGCATTGTACATGGCTTGACACCATACTTTCAATGTTTGTCTCGGAAACCATGGCAACTTAGAAGTGCACTTTCAAGATTTAATTCAATGCAGCATGCCAAAAGGAAAAATGAAAACAGAGAGTGTATTCAATTTGTATTGGAACGCTACTTTTTCCTCCATGGATATAGCTATCGCAGGATAACATTGTCCAATCTCCAATAATACCAATTTCGAGTAACGCCATCACGGAACGCCAAAATACCATACCGTCAGACGCTTTTCAAAGCCTTTTGATTACTTCAGGTCTCATTGCTTTCCCCTTATACTCCTGGAGGGCAATGACAGAAGGACCTAGGCAAACCCACAGCGATGCGGAGTTGCATGGTCAGGTAGTCCGTGTATTCTGTCTCATAAGCATCTAAAAGACTCTTGTCCTCTGCCATTCGGAAATGGAGGAGATCGATGATGTCCTGGCTATCCTCAGCAGAGTCAAGCACGGCTTGCATGAGGTCGGATTTGATGTCAATGAGTTCGTCCATGGACTGGTTTAGTTGGAAATTGTCATCTCTTCGCGCCTCAAACGCCTCTTGCAGGAGCTTTTCGATGAATGGTTCGATCAATGAGCTGAACTCTTCAGTTGGGTTCAACTTTTTTAAAATTCTTATCTTCTGGGCATCTGCGTAGTCGAGATTTCAATACGAGAAGTTGATTACTGATGCATGAGAAATTCAAGGGAACACTAACCTGGCAACTTCTCGAGCCTTTCGACTGTGACTCCCTTTCCAGGCGATTTTTCCTTGCCAGTAACTAAAAGATCCACAATGAAGTTGCCAGAAGAATCCACTAATGCCTTGGTATGACATTTTCTATTAGGGAGACCTGCGTTATAGTCTCTAGCCCGCAGATTATACAGCCTGTACAAGCAACTCGTAAGCAAGGTGGCCTCTCATCATGAAAAGAATGGGCAATCTGATTCCATTATACTTACGCACTCCCGAGTCCCGCGGACTGGCGTGCCTGCAATTCACTCAGGACATGAAATAAATCATTGTTGACACTGTTCAATTTGGTTCCGATGTCATTGATGTCTTCGTTGAAATGCTTATCGCTGGTCTCACCAATGTGTTTTCTTTCGTTTGGATCCGGAGTTGGCAGAATTGGCAAGGTCACTGGTCCTCCAGAAGCCCCCGTGGCTTTGGAGGGTTCTCCGCTGGATCGCGACGGAAAATTCTTCACAGAACCTGCAGAGTTCCCGTCCGTCTGTTGGGTCCTGGTAGCTATTGGCATGTTTGATGATGATTTGACTTTGTGTAATTGCGGGAAAGAAACAAGAGAGCACCAGCCAGCTACAGAGGCAAATGAATCAAAGTCTTAAATACTTGAAAATATCATTCCTCCGATCATATGTGACTTGACACAAATTGATTGACAGCCAGAACCGCCGCACATACGCAACCTGTATAGGCAACCATTCACATGCGAAAAAATCCACTTGATATCATGATTGGAAGTATATATTCAAACAGAAAGATCGCTGCTTCTGAGTTTGACAAACTGACGAATTACATTCCCAATGCAATGCATCAGCTGACAAGAAACTTCCACCACGGGCATTTTCGTACGAATGGAATATCATAGAATTCCACTGGAGTAAAGAGTGCACATTATATTGGTCAAAGTTAGATGTGTGTAATTAAACGATAATCTATATGCGCTGATAGGTTGATATACGCAGAGGTAATCGTGATGAGGGAGCTGGCTGGCGGAGATGAGTCGGATGGGGTCAAATTGTGACATATGAGAGGGAATGATCTGATATTCCATGCCGAGCCAGATTATCGTGACAACCAGTATTTGTTGGCATCAACGACACTGTAACAGCATGGGGTTGAAGCCAAAAAGTCACAAAATTGATATGAAAGATCGAATCCCTTACATTCGGGTTTCGGCACTTCTCAAGTCTGTAGGTAGGGCAAACCATCGCTAAGACCATGGCGGCTGCGGGCTGATTTTCCAGTCTCAGACATTTGTGATGCGCTTTGAATGCTAGGTACCAATCAGGTTAGGTTTGATGAAGAATCGTAGAGGAAGGCATGAGCAGATGAAAACAAACCTGGAGGTTAAGAGGACCTAGTTTTCAGCTTTGGAATCTTATCCGGGCTCGTGGTCTAAATGTGTGAATCGAATTGGTGGGGTATAGTGCCAGAGGCTGTGACACCCTGGGTTCCAGTAGTATAGTCTGGAATTGCTTAGTACAGAGTATCTGCTCGCTCGACACTAGTAGCTAGAATTTCCCCATCATAGGTGTGGCGGGACATGCCGAAAGTCTTCATGGGCAGAACCAATTGAGAGCTTGTACACCTTAATCCTCAACACGAAAGTGAGGTAGGGATAGTACCAACCATAAATCGGCAAATCGAGAAGACTACTAGGATATATTACTGGTCAATGGATAGATACCAATGTACAGCCTCGTGTATTGTAGCGCTGAAGGCATGCATCTTTGGCACATGTCAAATCATGTTATTTGACTCGCATGAATCATATACTCAACGTTTGCATTTTCTATAATTATGGAGGATAGGGGCAACAGGAAAGTTGTAGCTTTGCTCAGACATTCTCTCATAGCTTTATACTCGCCTACTCCCACCTCCAATTACGACTCTCGTACAATTTCATTGATATTGGGACCCAATCCCCTTTTTGGAGCAATTAACCATGCAGCCACACTGATTACTCATTTTCCAGCACATCGCCAAGCATGTTTCACCCAGATGCACTATAAACTGCAGGCAGGCCCATTGCTATGCGGAGTTGCATGGTAGCTGCCTCAGCTTTGTACTCACGGTCCTCATCCAGAGACTCGAATCGAAGGGCGCCAGTCATTTTGAGGTCGTTCAGAATCTTTTGCTTGATATCGGCTTTGGACGAGTGAAGCATGTCAGTTCAGTACGACTTGTGTGCGCGCGAGAGATTAAAAAGAGATACTAACGTGTCAAGTTCTCAAGCTCCCGAATTGTGAATAGAACACTCTTCTTTTCATCGGCTATATGATGTCAAATCGGGTCAGCAAGACTAACAATGACATGGAAAATGGAAGACGGTGAAAAAAAGAGGCAAGGAAAGATGAACCGACGGGACAAGCTCTCAATTGTGTCCATGGTATGTTTGTTTCCAGCTTTGGACGGCATCTTCTCCCTTTTGTAAAGTAATTCGTGTAATTCTCCTTTCTCGGTGATCAGTGGCAAAAGTCCGGTGTATCTCCTATCGCGAAGCGCCGCATTGTAGTCTCTGACTCGCTGGTTCTGCTGCCTGTACTCGGATATCCCTCGGGTCAGCTATGCTTGCATCATGTGGAGGAAAGTATACAAATATTGCTCCCTTTCACATACATGATGTCAATTAGTTGTGGCGCCGTAGACTTTTCCAGCAATCCCAAAAGGATTCTGTACAAGTCGAGGCTAAAGACGTCCAAAGCTGTCTTGGCCTGGAAGACATCGCTCTTGAGGGGCCAGCGAGTGGGTTCAGCGTTCATCTGGCCGAGATTCAATCCCATTGCTTTTGCATCTTGCCACGCTTTTATGGCTTGCGCCTTTTCTTCATCACTGAGTTCGGGTCTAGCTTTATCCCGCCGGGTTGTTGTCATGGGTTCCTCGGACTCGGAAATCTGGCCATCACCTTCTGGTTTGGATATAGCGTCGAGGCCATTAGGCTCTGATAAGTCATGGATATCTTCAGGCTCGGGTTTGGACGCAGTCTTCTGGGATATTTCTTTCTTCTGGGGTGTTTCCTCGGTATCAGGTTTGGGTGCAGCTTTCTGGGCTGTCTCTCTCTTTTGGGTTGTTTCCTCGGTATCGGGTTTGGGCACAGCCTTCTGTGGTGTCTCCTTCTTCTGGGGCGTTTCTTCGCGGCGAGGTCGACTTTGACTGGGTGCTGCCTCTTGGGTGCTGCGGCGGCGGACGTCGGTTTTGGAGCCGTCAGCTACGGGGCGCTTGGGGGCAGGTTTTGCTGGACTAGATGCATCGTCATCAATGTCCCTGGGGACACCGTGAGGCATGTCGTCGGTGGCGGTGGGCTTTTTACTTGTAGTCGACATGGTGCTGAGCGATAGGGACCAAGGGGAAGGGTTGCGTTCTCTGTAGATTCAGATCAATCAGTCGAAGAATTCAGGGTGGTAGGCGGAAGGTATATAATAATCAGAGTTTCGCGCCGTTGCCCAGTCTTTGTGGAAGCCCCATGGTGCTTGGCATCAAGCCAGCAAACTCAGATGATTCTCATAACCACTTATTCCATGATAGAAACGATTAGGGGAAAGTCTGGAAGTATACATGAGGCGTTCGTCAGCATTGGACGGCTGCTTCCATCGTTCCAATACCTCAAAAAACCATGCTTATGGTCGACGCTTCTAGCTAAAGGTTTGTTCAGCTCCAAGTCCAATGATTAATGCATTGGAAGACGATCACTGAGAACGATGATGACAACCAAGCTATGCAGAACCGACAAAGCTAGTATAAAGTATATACCAAGTTTTCAGTGTAATTATACCAAGTTTTCGGTAAAAGTCAACTAGTAATCGACGGTTCGCAGCTCCCCGCAAAGCATGGCGCAAATCAGGTTTCTTTGTGACTGAAGATGGCCGGCCTTTGTGTAGTTGTCTCCATCGATCACATATACGCTCCAAGTTACTGAAGTGCTGGAAAAAAGGGCAAATCCTTGATTTCGTGGCGCAGAAACGTCCTGTTTGAATCGAAGACTGGTCGTTGCAGGAGGGGTAGACCATTATAGGTTCCGCCGTTAGTATAGTCCAGTTTCGCTTAGTAACAACCCATCGATCTAGTTCCAGCTTAAACAGCTTTGAATGATGACCGATTGCATTACCTGGGACAATTAATGCTTGTCGCAAGGTTTTCTATTAGGAAACGACTCGAAGCTTGATGGAAATTCGTCGTCCGCACCCGGGCCGTAACCTCTTACGAAGCAGACCAGCTTTGCAACTTGCCAAAAGGCGGAGAATATGCTCCTAGGCACAAGTCGGAAAAGCGGCACTAGATGAATGATTAGGCCATAGAAGACGGTACGGCATCTCGAGAATTGGCTTTTCCCGGCAGTTTGTTGCACTGTTATGTCAATCGTTCGCGGCGCCAGACTTGAGCATCGCTTCAGAGCTTGTCCTCAACCTGAAAAGCCAGAACTTGATTTCAGCACTTCGGGCACGTGTATCTTCGACTGTAAGGGATCCAACCTCGACTCATTGGAAGTGGAGGGGACAAGCAATCAGACAATACAGCGATGAACGGCATTGAATCAAGTTCTCTCAATTAATCGCCTTGGAAGCTCTTGCAAGAATCACAACCCAAATTGCCGGATCTAGTATCAGGCATGCATAGACGACAAACAGCTCTTGCATTTGAGGATAGCGTGTGTGACCACTGAGCGGCGGGATCGTCCTACCTCTTACCAGGATATTAATTTGATAAGACCGGGGAAATCTATAGCCACGATTCATGTTGAAAATGTTGACACAAGCATCTCTCTCCAAAAGCAACTTTGATGTCAAGAGGCTCGAGTTCTGAGTTGGAGTCGTTGCCGGTCCGAATCCTTTGATTTGGACAAAGTCGTTCTGCGGCGGGTTCAGGAAAACTAAGATAAGATCATTCTACCCTGGAGACATTCGTGAGTTGAGAGTCATATCAGAAGATTCGTCGGCCAGTGACGAGAGTGCACGTATTTTGCAAGGTAATTAACAATCATTGTCACCTCTATATTGGTACCTGAATTATGCTTACGCAGCCAGTGTAAAGCTATAACACATACATGCGGATTAAAACCTGTAACACAGTAACAACATGACTCAATCGTTGTTGATCAACATGATGAGGGCGGGAAGAACCTAAAGTCTATCTGCTGAAGGGTGTCATGGTAACCCCATCAATGATCTGTCTCTCTGTGTGTACGCAAATAGGACTTTTCTAACCATTAAAAACAGCATTCCATAACCTTCTGGCCTCACCAGGGGCACAGAAGGGACCCGATAGAACATATCACTGGCACCAGCACATTGAAGAATGGAACTTGGTGATAAAGCTCTATCAGTATGAGCAATCAACATTCCCCTTCTGCCCAACGTCTTCAAGATCCACTCAGCCATGTTTTGCGTAGATGATGATCTTCGGAGTAGCGGTCGCAATATCAAGAAGGCACAGATAATCTTGGATAGGTGCGATTTGGAAACATGCAATCCAAATAGCCACGAGGAAACAGCTCAAACTCCAAGTGGTTGGACGAAGAGATAACCCCCTTTGGCAAAAGCGCGCAGCAGCTTCCAAGACGGATACCGACAAAATCTCGTAATATCACGAGGCAGGTTTTTCTTACGATTCCAAGTAATGCCAAGTGTTCTCGATCATCAGGGACGTTTTACTACTAGTGGGCATGGATGCAAGTGATGTGCATATACACACAGACGTGTGTTTGTGTGCGTAACAAGTGAGCTGCTGTAAGTGAGGCCCGGGGGACTGGATTGGGGTTTTTGGGGGGGGGGGCCTCTCAAGCCTCTCCACAATTCCAAACGGCTGTTAGCGCTGTGCCGATCCGGCTGTTGCCCTTGTAAAATAACAGCAGGAAGGCGCTGCAACTTGGCATTTGCTTGGCTTGGGGTGGATGGAAAGCCACTAATGATTGCTCCCCTCTGCCTCTCTCCTCAAGATCGCGAATACGACTTTCTCTTCTCCTCTCAGCACTAACTTGGGGGGCTTATTAGCATTATAATAAAGTTTTCTGCATTTTCACTTCGAAATGGAATGCATTGCAAACTTGAGATGAATCTCAGGCTTGCTAGTCCTTCGGGTTGATAAGCTGCTGTATCAGCCACAGACACCGTCTACCTCCACTATCTGGCATTGTCCTCTTGGCGCTCAAGGCAGAGAGAGAGCGCATTCAGGTGGGTTTTCCCTGGGGCAGGCGCAGCTACAATCAGCTCATTCCCCATTCATGCCAAGCATCTTCTATCATCAAGAACAGACAGGCCTATGCTAAACACACTAGAAATCACAGTGAGGATGGATGCGGGCGCTGTGAGTACCGCTGTTGCTTAGCCACCACTAAGACCCAGGGCAACCATCTGAGCCTTGAGGCTTTTCCGCAACCAATTCCGTTGCATGATTTTCCAATCTCTCTGCCAAGACCAACACCCATTGAAGGGCTTCAGAGAACACCCTGACCACGTATGTGTGTGTGTGAATCAACTACTGCCATCCCAACTCATTCTCTTGGTTTCGCCTCCATCCCAACCAAGTCCGTTCTTGGGCCCGGAAACTCAATTGTTTTCTGACAAGTTCTCAGATTTACTTTGGCTAGTATGAGAGGCCAAGATCTGGGCCAAATCAAGGCCGCTTTCTGATTCGCCCAATGTCAGCTCTATAACACCATAACTTATTGTCTTCCATCAACTCACACGCTCGCCAACTCCGGCAGTCGCTTTTGAGGCATGGGCCAGGTTCTTGTCTTCTCATGAGGCGCGCTGGGCCAACATCAATTATACTCACTCGCTTTTCTAGGGGCTCAAGTCAGCCGCCAAGACTCGACTTGTAGGGAATGCCGTTATGAATCCACTATACTTGGAGGCTCGGTGAGCGGCACTCGCTCGTGAACGAGAAATGAGGAATCAGACAGTTCGATAGCCGACTTCCAAACGGCAGGAGAATCTCTTGGGAAAAGGAGGCCTTCATGATTGTGTATATAGAATACCATCTTGATATCTGCAGCCAGTCCTCATGTCTATATAACCAAGAGACTCGTGCCACTTTCCACCGAGGTTTTCTGCAGTTCATATCCACAATCAAGTTCATCTCCTCAATCAAATCCGACACGATCTATACTCTTACAAAATGACTCTACTCAACTTTATCATTGGCCTGGCACTTACAGCCAGTGTCACAGCGTGCCCAAGTCACACCAACAACCAAGCCAAGACAAAGCGAAGCGAGTCCAATGTGACAACAATAACAGCAGCCGAATGGGCTTACGATGAGTCCTATGATTGGGGCATGTTGAGTCGAGGTGAGTTTCTCAAGTATTTCTACTCTCCTCTTTCTTACGGCATCCCTTATGATATTCACATATCAACAAACGTAATCTCATCAACATGACTAACATAACATCCTCCCCAACACAGACTACGAATTGTGTCAAACTGGCACACAACAGTCCCCCATTGCCCTGACATTGGCCACCCACGGCCTGTCCAAGAAGCACCGCCCAACATTCAACTATGGAGTCAACACGACGGGCAACCTGCACAACTGGGGCTACGGCCCGGCCTTTACGCTTTCTCCCCCCAGCGTCGCTGATGATTACTCTTCCAACCCGGCCATGTCGTACGACAACGAGACCGTCTACCTCGCGGGCTGGCACATTCACGCGCCGGCCGACCACATTGTAGACGGCGTGCGCTCGCACGCCGAGCTGCACTTTGTCCACGTCGACGCCGCAGGCCACGAAAAGGCCGTAGTAGGCTTCCGCATCGATCCTGCACCCTCATCCTCCTCATCCTCCTCCCCATCCACGTCTCTCAACGTCGACATTACCGACATTGTCGAGGACGCCTTTTTCGCCCAGCTCCCGTCGACCTACTCCCGCTGGGACGAGATGGACCTCGAGGAGGCCGCCGTGCTCGACCTCGGCGACGCCCTCGAGGCCGTGGCCCGCCTCGACGCCTTTTACACGTACGAGGGCAGCTTGACCAGCCCCCCTTGCCACGAGGGCATCCGCTGGTTCATTGCCGCCCGCGTCCTCGAGGTCAGCATTCCCCAGATGCAGGCCATCCTCGCCGCGAGCACCTACTCGGCCCGGACGGAGCAGATGATTTGGGAGCATCATATCAATGAGTAAGAGATTGTTGGGGTTGCAAGTTTTCATTATGATTTCATTCGCATGAGGGGTGTACTTTTCTTTTTCCTCCCTCGCCTGCTTGATGTTTCGGCCAAGTGTCGGAAGAGAACGGGCAGTTTTAAATGTGTATATATAACATTCTATATCATCATATTCGATATCATCATATTCGGAAGTTTTCTTGAAACCATAAACGGACTTGTTTCGACTATCTCGAGAACACGACGCTCGAAATACCCTTCAGTCGATGTTCATCACACTCTATTGACTTGATGCTTTCCCTCTTGATGTTACCGAGGAAGGAAGACCCTAACCAAAATGTCTTAGCAGAGTGCTTCGTACCTATGATGCTTGCTCATAAACCTTGTGTCACATTTAGCAAGGGAATTAGATGCTCACCCAATCTTGCAGGACAACAGATGGCGAATTTTGATAAACAAACAAACAAACAAAGGTCGTGGATATATTACTATAATGCTGTGTGGTTCCGGTAACCAGCACTTCTTCTTCCGCTCCGGCTCATTCAATCTCATGCATTGCGCCGTGCTACTCGAGTCCCCAATTTAGTACATGTTCCCTCTCCTTCTTTCCATGACAGAAGTCTTCGTGAACAGCTCTATGCAAGACAAGGTGCAATATCTCAGCACGCAATATACAGAACTCCGACAAGGGGGGTCACCATCGCCAACTTGGCTTGACTCCCATATCCCATCCATCATTAATGATATGCCGGCTTTCCCTTTTTCATATGCGAATCCAGTATCTCAAAATCAGATGCAACCCCTTTAATCCTTCTTGCCATTGGAGCTGTGACCAAGGAGTCCCTCCTTAAGCTCCTTGATGGGCAGGTTCTCGTCAAGTCGGAAGTGACCACCTCTCCTTCGGACGCGACCGCGGAACCAAGAGGCGGCACCGAGGGCGAGACCAGCGACGCAGCCAAAGCTCAGGTATGGGTGCTCTGAGAAGGTCATGCGGATGTCGAAGAAGATCTTCTCAAAGCTCGAGATGGTCAACTTGGGCTTGATCTTGGGCGGCGATGCAGTGACCTTGCCGATAGTCTCGAGGATCGACGTTCGCGAAGGTACAATGTAGTTTCCAGTGATGGTCTGGTCCCAGTATCTTCGGTTCTGCACCATGGTGTTAGCTTTCAAAGTTGTCCACAATCGAGCTTGGACTATCACTTACGTCTTCGTCATTGATAATCACACGCTCGCCATCCTTGACGTCGATACCGTACGTTGTGCGGATCCACCTCTGCCAGAAAACACCATCAACCCAGGCAAAAGCAACCTCCTTGCGGTCTGCTCTGTCCATGTTGATCCGGATGGCCTTGGCAGCTCGAAGCGCCCGCTGGTCATTGCGGTCTTCGGCCTCTTCAATCCTGAGTTGCTTGGCGTCTCGCAATTCCTGTCGCTCGAGTTGGAACAATTGAATCTGCTTGTCCATCCATTCATTGGCGGCACTCTTCATCTCACGCTTGGCACCGAGGAAGGATTCCTGGTCTTCCCTGTTAAGAATGCCGAGCACGACAATCTTTCCATCCATGATTTCGCGGGCATTTGAAGCAGTCAACTCGGGAATGATAGGCAGCCAGACCGACTTCATCCAGTTGAGAACAAGATGCGTGTCGCGCATCTCTCGCGGCGTCAGTGGGTTGTAGTATGTTGGTCTTGTGTCCCGAACAACAATGAGTCTGGGCCAAGTAGTGATCTTGAATCTGTCAAACAGAACCGGGTCTCTGGTCTTGACAAGCTTTGCACGGCCAATAAGGCTAAGTGGCAGCCTCTCCAATGCCAGCATATCTTCTGAAGTGGCGGCATGGTCGTAGAAGTAGAGGAAGACGACCTCCTCCTTTTCCTCCATAGCAGCAAAAGACTCGGCATCGACGTCGGGAACACCAACAGCAACGTCCAAGGCCTTCTCGGCATATTTGACAAAGTCACCGAGGCCACGGAGACCGTCGTACTCAACACGCTCACCTCCCTTGAAGAAGTGAATGGTGGGATATCCTCGCACGTGGACGTCCTTGCAGAGTCTCGATTCGGCATCACAATTGACCTCTCCAACGTTGAGGCGGCCTTGCATTTCCTTTGCAAGCTGTTGCCAAGCCGGGGCCATGGCCTGACAGTGGTGGCACCAGGGCGCGTAGAACTTGATGAACCAGGGGTCTTGGCTCATCGTGACGAGCTGCTGGAAGCTTTCGGCAGTGAGGGACACAGACTTGCCCTCCTTGTTCGGCGTAGTGCTCGGCTTCTGGTGCTTGACCTCGGGAGGAGTGAATGGGATGCTGACATATGGGTCCTTGTTGTCCTCCAATGTCCCGACCTTCTTGCTATCTTTGGCGTCAGTCTTCTTTGACGATGTGTCAGCCTTGGCAGCAGCCTTGTCGGTTTTGTCAGTCTTGGAGGTTTTTTCGGTTGTGTCGGTTGCGTCATCCTTCAGCGACTTCTCATCCTCGACGGCCGCTGCCGCTGCCTTCTTCGCAGCTTCGGCAGGGTCGGGACTAGTGGCGTCGCCAGGCTCAGGCAGGAGAAGGGCGCGCGGTCTGCTTTGAGGGTGCTCCTTTTCCAGCTCAGTCTCAATGAGGTTGGACAGAAGGGTCATGTTCTTGCCGCCATGCACAGCATCGACGAATTCGCCATTCTTGAAAAGCGAAGTCTGGGGGTATGACCTGATCTCGTGCTTGGTACAGATGTCACCGTATGCGATACAGTTGAGCGTGGCAAATCGAATGTCGTAGTACTCTTCGAATGATTGCTCCTTAGATGCTGTAGGAGGATCCGACGTGTAGTAGAACTCGTATAGGGTCTGATAAGTCGGGGCGAAGGCGACACAGTGAGGGCAGTATGGACTAGAATGTTGTCAGCTGTGAGCATTCAAAACGATGGAACACTTCAAAGGGGACGGATTGTGGTGTATGGCATCGGGTGACGCGGCATGTCTTGTGATGAGGACTGGCATTTGTTTGTTTGGGGGGTTCGTCTTACCTGAAGTATTTCACCACCAAATACTTCGTTTTGGTTAGTTCTTCGGCAAAGGAATCGGCCGTCAGTTCTAGCAACGGCGGCACTTTCTTGCCATCAAAATATGTGTTCTCCCTCTTGGGATTTGTCTCCTTCTCGGCTCCAATGGCTTGCGCAGCACCGAGGGCTGCTGCGCCGAGCCATAGCGCGAGCGAGGAAAGCCTCATGGCTACGGGGCCTCGCGAATTGTCGCGGGATGGACGATGGAAGTTGCTCGAGACGAGTGTCGGAAGACGATCGAGGAGGATGTATTGTTTTCTACCGGGTCATGCGCCCTGAAATGCCGCCCAACTCGAGATGGGGAGATATTGGTTGCTGGGCGGAGCAAGAGGTTGATAATGGCCAACGTGGTAGTCGAAAGGCGAAGTGAGTGCAAGGTGCGTCGGTTGGTAAGGTAATCTGTAGGCAGGCAGAAAGGGGCACGGAAGCTAGGTGCTAAAGCTACGGGGGAGACGCCCGTCGCGCTAGAGAGACAGACACTGCTGCTATTCAAGCACTGATGATTGATACGGGAATGCCCAGAAGAAAAAAAAACTAATGCGCTATTACGCACAAGGAACAAGCGTGTCTTTCCCTGGTCGTCTCGACTCGACTGGTCTTGCTTGAAACGGCTGTCAACCAAATAAGTCTCGTGTTGAAAGATGTATGTTGGGCTTTGGTTTTTTGCGACCCCGGATTCCAACTCGAAATTTTTGGATATGCAACTATTAATAAATTTGGCAGCGTAACGACAAATGCAGTCCCAAGAAGATCAATGTCTGACCAAGTGTCTTGAGTTCCTTGTCGATTTTTTCTAATCAAGCGAAATTCAATGTCCAGGGACTTACGTCTAGCCAATGTCAATCTGGCCAAAGCTGCGACACGCGCACCTTGGGGCTCAGGAGCTTTTTTGGGCTAGAATCTTGAATGGAAGAGATCCATCATCCCCCAGCTCTCCTACCTCTTCCTACGACCTTATCAGCCCAGCCAATCCCCTGCCAAACCCAATCTGGCGCCACACATTTATCTCGGCTTTGTGGCTGAGCATATGAAGATACATTGTGGATTTCCTTGTGATCAGCATTCATTACATTGGCTGCCTAGACTCAGTCAATGCAAGAATTATATACTTTGACCATGATGCTAATTGCAAAGGCACTTGCTCACCTGTGGCTTCCAATTTCCCGCGAAATATAAAGCATAGCGATGAGCCGCCCAATGGAGGGATGTGCAGTATGACTGGACGATTCATTCAGGGCTTGACCTGCTCCAATAATGCTGGCTGGTCAGCAATGTATACATGCATTCATGATATCTGATCAGAAAATCGACGATCAGATTACTAGATGGGCTTGCAGACGGCTATATCTAGGGCCGTAGGGTCTCTTAAAGTTGCCTTTCGTGCCACAACGTTGTACTTCCTGTAAAAAGAGTAGGAGAAGGCTCAGATGCGCTAATTGTCATTTTGCCCAATCCGCACTTCAGTGTGTTTATGCCGGAGGGGAAAAGACACGACTGTTTTAATGTAGGCAGTTACCAGCTTCAGTCCAAATCAAGGAAACAACAACCCTCGCTTCTTGGAAAATTACCACACCTTCCAACTTGGCAGCCGTGAGCATGCACTTGATGAAACTGAGCAATTGCCGTTGATGCATTATTTCCGTTCACCCACCCATTCTCTCACTCTCCATTCCAAAGCTGCCGCTGCACCATTACATGTAAAACCTGACGCACTGCGGGTTTGCCTCGTCTACCTTCATTCATTGTGCGCCTGGCGGGAAACAAAATCACCGTGCTCGAAAACTACATGCAGCATAAAGTTCACTACACGACCCCAGAATATGGATGAGCCTCCGTCCAAACGGCAGGCCATTGCCGGGGCTGATGACCGTCCCCGAGCCAGCCCCAAATCACTTACACGGGACATCAGCCCGCCCATGAGACGATCTGCAATGCCGCAGCCACATCAGAAGCAGCCACATCAGAAGCAGCCACGCAAGGTCATTGCATCCCCCTTTCGCCTGACGAAAATACGTGATCTACCAACAGCGTCAAACGTGGATGCCATCAGCCTTCACGATCTTCTCGGTGATCCACTAATCGCAGAATGCTGGGAGTTCAACTTCCTCCATGATGTTGACTTTCTCATGGGCCACTTTGACCAGGATGTAAGATCTCTGGTCAAGGTCCATCTCGTTCATGGATTCTGGAAACGAGAGGATCAAAACAGAATTATGCTCGAGGTAAGCATATTTCTTCCTTCTTTTTTTCCCCCCTGCACAGTGCGCCGGAACTTGCCCAAAAAGCATCGGCGCATCATATATTCATGTAATATGAACGCGATTATTGCTTTTTTCCCCCCTCCCTCACCTAGACGTTCTACTTGGGACCATTTGAAAGATGGTAACAGTAACACATTTGCCAAACCCTGTGATGCAAACTACATTCTTCCTTGAAGATTGAACAAGCAGTGAAATAAACACGTTTCATGAGTTCCTCGTAACTGGTAATCTGACATCACTCTCAGCAACAAGCTTCACAGCATCAAAATGTGGCTCTCCATGCTGCCTACATGCCCGAGATGTTTGGGACCCATCACTCAAAGATGATGATCCTTCTTCGGCACGACAGCAAAGCCCAAGTCATTATTCACACGGCCAATATGATTGCAAAGGATTGGACAAATATGACCAACGGAGTGTGGCAATCACCTCTCTTACCTCTCCTCAACAGGCCTGACTCTGGTGAATCAAACGGGCCCGCAGGCAGCGGAAAGAAATTCAAGGCGGATCTTCTCAACTATTTGAGTGCATATAACACAAAGCGAGATGTTTGCAAAAGCCTGGTCAAGGAACTGGCCAGATATGATTTCTCAGAAGTGCGAGGCAGTCTCGTTGCAAGTGTACCGGGGCGACATCCTCTCGAAAGTGGTTCTAGTACACGATGGGGCTGGGCTGCTTTGAAGTATGCTTTGCGCGATGCCCCTATTTACCAAGGGAAATCGGATGTGGTTGCCCAGGTATCCTCAATTGCAACGCTGGGTGGGACAGATGCCTGGCTTCAAAAGACACTCTTCGAATCGATGTCCTCAACCGGAAAATCAAACACCATACCCAGGTTCAAGGTGGTCTTCCCGACTGCCGACGAGATTCGTCGTTCGCTTGATGGGTACGCTTCTGGTGGTTCGATACATACCAAAATCCAATCTGCACAGCAACAAAAGCAACTCGAATACTTGCGACCCATGTTCTGCCACTGGGCAAATGACACGGAAGCTGGTATATCATCAGGTGGGGTGTCCTCAAGTCTTGGCGAACATGATGCTGGTCGACAGCGCGCAGCACCTCACATCAAGACCTATATCAGATACAACAGCCAGAGTTCTGTTGATTGGGCCTTGCTTACCTCGGCCAATATTTCCAAACAGGCCTGGGGAGAAGCTGTCAATGCTGCCAAGGAAGTCCGGATTGCGAGCTGGGAGATTGGCGTTCTGGTGTGGCCTGATTTGCTCGCGGATGGCAAAGGTGCAAGAATGGTGGGAACTTTCAAGACAGACACGCCAGATCGAAATGAGCACGAGGACAAATTCAAAGGCGAAGATGATGGCACTTTGATTGGCCTGCGTATTCCGTACAATCTGCCGCTGCAAAAGTATGGCCCTGGCGAAGAGCCTTGGGTAGCCACAGCAGATTACCAAGAGCCAGACTGGATGGGCAAGACTTGGTAGACGCAGCTGATCTAGGCGTGTCAGATATAGGATGTATCATGTGCCGATCGCTGCACCGTTATGCGAACAAGTGTCAGATGGTTACTTTTCAGGTCGCGCAAAGCAAAGAATAACACCAGAGAATCGCTCGGCTGGCTGTACAATAATATCGAGTTTATTCATAGCCACATCATTGCCACTTTTGTGACTGAGCGACGTTTTCGTGCGTGTACTATTTCGAGGATTTCGTGAGATGCGGCGCATCGTCGCGAACCAAGCCATCGATGTGGATAATCATAATGGCAACGAGTGCGTTACTCGTGCCAGGTGCCAATAGCCCCACGATGCTTCCTCCTGGTTCCGTGTAATCATGCCAGACCCTCCGCCCGGAGCCCTAGTGCTGCCAATGTCTGTATCCCAGCCTCTCTCGGCGTCTAAGAGGTACCAACGTCCTCGGGGGTCTTGTTGGCGTCGTAGCCATACTTGTTCTTGAGGGTCTCGACAAGGGCGGCGTACTTCTCCTGAGCCTGCTCTGGGGTCGTGCTGTCATCGACCTCCTTCTGCCAGGCGGCGTACTTGGCCTTGCCCTTGAGGTCGAACATGCCGGGCTTGGCAGCCTTGCTAAAGTCCTCGCCGTTGGCGACCTTGAAGAGAGCTACAAGAGAGCAAAAAGTTAGTCCAGAGCTTGCGCATCTTAAAAGCAAGGGTTGATACGGGAAAGGGGCCAAGCAATAGTGGTTGGGACGTACCGTAGAGCTCGAGAAGCTCGTCGTTGGAGGGCTTGGCCGTCAGCTTCTTGCTGTCAGCGACGGCGGTGTTGAAAGCTTCGCTCAGAGCCATGGTGATTGATGTGGTATTTGATTGTAAAAAAATCGGAAGTTATTGAGAATGACGAAAGATTGCAGATGAGAAAAGTCAAAGAAGGAGAGAAGAAAACTTGTTGAGGGGAGCCGAAATGTAATGTAATGGGAATATGACGAGCCGAGTTTTGGTGGGGTCCTGGTTAGCCATGTGTTGAGACTCTCTTGTGTCCGCCAACAATGGATTTGGATCACATGGGATATGGCGGGGTAAGGTAAAAGAATGGGGAGGGACCCCTGGCCCGCCATTGGCTCGTGGTCGGGTTTCCGTACTATTCAAGCTATTTGATGCCTTGGTGTCATTACACAGTAAATGTCATTTTTGGGGGTTGGAGAATGGGACACTATGAATAGCGCTCCATGGGTCTGGCAATTGTCGTCATGATGTGCCGTGATACTTGTCTGTCAGAATACGTCAGATGTCTTTCTTTCTTTTATGGGTGTCCAAAGTTTTCGTCGTCTTGTGGTTCGCAAAACAGGTACGATGCAGGGGAATTACCACATCAAAATGGAGCCGAACCGTCTGGGTCCCTCTCAATGTACCCTCCGAGGTCAAAGATGGGTGTCTTACACATGCTTTTCTGTAAGCTTAATTGCGTATCCAGCCCTCCCGTCCTTGTAGGGCATGTCTCTGCTGTGAGCTCTTCAACGGTTTCTTGTTCCGAATGAATGTCTTGGAGAATGCTCTTGTGTCTGCTCAGTGCAGCTTCCCCAGGGCGATCTCGAAAACCTGCCAAACGCGTTGCATTGGGCCAGTAGACGAGCACCTTGACCGTCATCTATCATTGATGAGAGTAACTCGTACTCCCTGATTAGTCAGGACATCTTGCTTGTTTGACGCAAGATACAGAGCCAAGTCCTTATATACAACTGTGAAGTGAATTTTGGCTTTCTTGTTATAAAGACGTATGACCTTTCCACTGGACGGCGTTTCATTGCTTTCTTAGAAAAGCCCGGGACTTTGACAGGAGCCACTTTTGACGCGGGCTTGTTTCCGTGACCCCGTCAAGCCCGTCCATTTCGGGACCGACCATCGGGCTCTTGTAATTGCAGTCGTCTCCCTGAACTCGCTGGCAGTATCAATGCCAGCATTCAGTTGTATAGAAATTCGGGTTTTCGGGCAGCATCAAATGGCAATAGCATGGGAGCTATTTATCTGCTTTTATGGTGAATTGTTCATATCAATTGATTCATGAATGCAGCCTGGAAAGAACACTTTTCAGGAGAAATATTATCCGGGCTATTCCCTCTCTGCTATCTGGGCTACCGCGGATGAGGTACATGTTGCCAATTATACACGCCTAGAGATTGGTTATATAAGCCGTGTTCGTGTACTAATACACTACACACCAAGCAAATTTGATCTATAATATCCAGACAGCGATAAGAACAGCACTCTTCAAATTTCGTAGATATGGCAAAATGGTCTTCAAGTTACTATGTAGTAATTTTCTTGTTAATAAGTCGAGTATCAAAAGAATTATATGAAATACTTCCTCTAGAATAGCCCAGATAACGTATGGGGGGTAGCCCGGATAACATTTCTCCTAATAAAACTCCCGACCGCTTGCATATTGGCGCTATTGGAGTTGCCAGTCAGCGTTATGGGAATTATGAACAGCTCATTTCCAATACAGCGTAAGCGTAGCCTCTGCGCCCTGGTTTGATTGCCAATTGATGACAAATTGATCGTGTTGCAACCGGCTGGCATTCGTTTACTTTGTAATGTTTCCTTCGTTGCTTAGATATCTAGTTTAGCGCTGAAGAGCGAACGGACACGAGTTGGGGACTCCGTGCCAGATTGAAACGGGTCTTTTCCCTATCGAATGGGGAGACACACGACCTCTTTCCAATGTCTTGATATGCCCCAAAGCGTCAAACTTGAGGCCCCCAAAAGCCTTCGGTGCCGGAAAGCTCAAGCCTGCGGATCCGCGCACCCCCGGGCGCTTCATAAACTCCGGTCTGGGTCGCCCTGTCGTGCTGTGTAACAGGTCGTATCATCGCGTCTCCAGGGTCAATGTGTTTTGTTATTTAAAGCCAGTCGCATCTCCCTCGTAGCCGTGGGATTTTTTTCTTGTCTCTGTCTTGTCACATCCTCTACATTGTACACGTAAGCAACAACCAGGCTTGTGCAATTCCCTCCTTCACCACCCAGCACAGCAGCGATTCAGTGGCTCGTGCTTCAAATCCGACTTACACGGCGGAAACCACACCTTAACGGACCTTCGCCAACCACAAGTCCCTTAGGTCATCACCATGACGCAGACAATTGTTGTTTTGGGAGGCTCTTTTGCCGGTATTCAACTCGCACATAGACTAGTCAAGAACACAAGGAAGTCGGTCAAGGACTTGAAAGTGATTCTCGTATCCACGGTGAGTGCATGGAATCGATCAGCACGGGTACTTCTGGAGCCTCCATTCGTATCGAATGTGTTTCAAAAGCATCAATTACCCGCTTTCATACAACACATTAAAAAGAAAACCAAGTCTAATAATGATGCCTAGAACTCTCATTTCTATTGGAACCTGGCATCTGTCCGTGCCATCATTCCGGGCATCTTGAAGGATGAGGACTTTACCCAGTCCATTGAGAAGGGCTTCGCCCAGTACCCCTCGGACGCCTTCGAGTTTATCGTAGGCACGGCCAAGGAGGCCGACATTGACGCCAAGACGGTCAAGGTGGCGCTTGTCGGCGGCGAGGGCGGCGAGCGCGTCCTCAGCTACGACCACCTGGTGCTGGCGACGGGCACGCGCACGGCGGGCGCGGACGCGGTGCCCTGGAAGGCCAACGGCACGCACGAGGAGATCCTCGACACGCTGCACCGGACCGCCGAAAAGGTCAAGGCGGCCAAGCACATTGTGGTGGCGGGCGCGGGCGCCACGGGCGTCGAGACGGCCGGCGAGCTCGGCTTCGAGTACCGCAAGAACAAAGAAATCGTCCTGCTGTCGGGCGACGCAAAGCTCCTGGGCGGCGACTCGCTATCCAGCAATGCCGAGAGCGAGCTCAAGAAGCTCGACGTCACCATCAAGACCAGTGCGCGCGTCGAGAGCACCACGACCCTGCCCGACGGCAAGACGGAGATTACGCTCAAGAACGGCGAAAAGATTGTCACGGACCTCTATCTGCCCACCATGGGCATGCTGCCCAACACCGAGTACCTCCCTGAAAAGGTGCTGAGGGAGGACAAGTTTGTCGCCGTTGACGAGTTTTACCGCGTCAAGAATGCCAACAATGTTTGGGCCGCTGGTGACATTGTGTGGCTTCCCAGAGGTTCTTACGTCTTGACGGACAAGCAGGTGAGTCGATTTCTCCAAACAGAGACCCTTGAATACCCCCAGAAGATTTCCGTTTTCATTGTATTGACACGTTTGCATAGGCTGCCGGTGTGGCCAAGAATATTGATTTGGTTCTGCGCAACAAGAACCCAACTCCAGTCAAGACGCTTCCCATGGACGTCCTCATGGCCACCGTTGGTAGAAGTCGTGGAGTCGGACGCATGGGGTCCGTCAAGGTCTTCTCATACATGGTGTACACGATCAAGGGCAAGACGCTTGGTGTTCAGGCACTGCCAGGCATGGTCAATGGCACCAGCTACTAAAAAGAAAGTTGGCGGGAATCCTTTGGATGGCGTATACCTAGTTAAAAGGTCATTTGGTGCGTGCGACTGCTTCAGAAAGATCCAGATACCCTATACCCTATAGATACCATGCCAGTTTTGATAATGTAATCGAATTCTTCTATGAGTTACTTTGAGTATATTGTGGTTTGTCGGGTCAAATTGGAATCATCGTATAATCACGATCTTGATCCAACTTGGGCACCAGTAAAACATTTTGATATTATGCCCTCTACCCTGACTCCAAGGCTTTCAAACTACTGATCTCCTAATCAAAATTATCTGCTAGTCTTCTCATCCTCAATTTCCCTCCGTAGTTGATCCAAGACTTGCGTCCTTGAGCTCAGATGTGACTCGAGTCCGTCAATCTGCTCCTTTACAGTGGCCAGATCATCCGCTACGCCCCTCAAGTTGCTTCCAGTCTTGGCCTTGCCATTGCCCTCTTCCAGCTCGCGCAGCTCCTTGCGCTTGTAGTCGAGCAGCTGCTCCAGCTCGCGCTTCACGAGCGCAGGCTTGCTCTCCCTCTTGCCGCCGCGCCGGCGGTTCGCCATTTCCTCGACCTTGGCCATCTTCTCGTCGAGCTCCTGCAGCTGCTTCTTGAGCCGCACTTCTTCCCAGTCGTCCGTCTTGGCCGTGCCAAAGTCGGTGCCGGCTGTCTTGAACCCGCCCCGGCCGAGCCGCGTCAGGTACTGATCGCCAAATTTGGCCTTGCGGCCGGTGCTCGTGTTTTCGTCGGCCTTGGCCGCCCAGCGGGAGGCGGCGGGTGCATTGCGGTCCGAGTCTAGCTGGTAATTGATCTGGTTGCGCTCAAACGAGGAGCGGAGCGACGCTGGCACGGTCCGCGGGATCCGGAAGCCCTCGTGCCGGTTGTTTAGAATGTGTAGAAAGGCGAGACAAGCGTCCTTGTTAATGGTGGCCGAAGCTGAGGGGTTGATCAGGTTCCAGGCGCTGCGAATATCGGTATCTGGCACGTCGAGCGACTCGTAGAGGTCCTCTAGGGCATTGACTATAAGGAGACGGGATCATGGTTAGCGGCTTCTGTTCTGAGGAGGGTCAGAGGGGGGCTATGCGCCACGCAATCACGTACATGACATTTCTCCGCGCATGTCTCTGTTCTCCTGATATATCGACTCGTACTTGGCCTTGTCTTGTGGGTTCATGTACCAGTCAAATCCATCCTTTAGCCCAAGCGAATCGTCCTCGTCGTCCACCTGCTCGAACGCTACTTGCTTGCCGGTAAGTGCTCTGTTTGCTTGTATGAGATGCGACTTGGATTCGGGAACGAGCCAGTCGGGCAGCGTGTTGGGAACTTCCGCGTATTCCTGTTCTCTTGTAAGCAAAGATGTTCTGGTTGCCTGTGGTGGTGTCCGTTCCGGAAGGGATGGATGGGGAGACCAACGCCATTGACTATATCAAAGATGATGCGCATTCCAACACAAAACTCCTCAAAGTCGAGGTTGCCGTCATTGTCAATGTCGGCCACGTCCCAGACCTTCTCGAGCTGATCATCCCGCAGGCCGCTGTTCTTGAGCAGCGGCGCCGCCATTTCTCCAGTCAGGTATTTGCCGCCATTTGTCCTGGTTGAGAAGATGTTCCAGTACGTTTCGACTTCGGCGGCTTCGATTCGGGGCGCCATGGCGGCAACGCTGCAGAGAGAGTGGATGCTGTGCTGCTTGTAGGTTGTGCCCGGTTCGGTCGCGGGGGATGCAATTGTCTTGCGACTTGGTATCCGTTGGTGTAGTAGGCGCCGCCGTGTCCCAGAACAATGATGATGGTGGTTATGAATGAACGCTTTGCCTCGCCTCTAGACCCAACCCCCAATACAACACTAATGTAGGGAAGCTTTCCAGGGGTGCGGCGATTGCCATGCGAGCGAGCTCCAACTAACTGTAATGACTGCGGGTGGGCCAAGGAGTTGGGAGCTGACTGACGTCGAGGCTTGGGCAGAGAAGAGAGGGTGCACGGAGCCTCCCTCCCTCCCTGCCCGAGGGTACTTGTTACAGTGCAATACAGTGCTGAATACACCTAATACACAGACCACCACCCCTGTCTTTTATGATCATTAATTTGGAGTCTCAGGCAACGAATGTCTTAATTAGTCATCTTAGTCTTATACTAGACGACATACACCAGAAGTGAGAAAGGGATTGCCTGCAGTTTGATCATAAGTCACATCCAGAGTCATAACAGGATCGCATGGATTTAGCAACTCGTATAAAAGCCACAGCTTCTACGGCTAACTTTGCACCTGGCTGGCCTTCTACCTGGCTGGTCATAACCCTACTTGTCTTTTACGTCCACCAAGTAAAGGAAAAAAAGACAAAGGACAACGAAAAACGCCAGCTGAAGCAAGAAAATACCAGCACATATTGAAGCCATGGGTAGTAGAGCACAAATCATCATACATTGCAGTTGTGCCTGGTCATTGTGACAGAAAAGATGAACCCCGATGTTGACTTGAGGGCGTAATTACAGAAGTCGATGTGGTTGGATCAAGAAGAAACTTTTCCCTTATAAATTCAATTCCTCTTAACCCCGGGAAGACTTTTCTGAAGCTGTTAGTATGATGGAACCAGACAAGACAGTTTTTTAGGATGATTACGCCTATGTTATATGATCCTCTCGTGTCCATTTTGTTTTGGAAGAGCCACAAAGACGAACACACTTCTGCCATTATCGTACAGCTTAGAGCGACCGGAAATGATAGTCATGCTTGAAATGATACAGACAAGAATCTTGTCGAATCTGGTTCGGTTCAAAATGCTCAAAATCGCAGTGGCAAGATTCTTTCGGCGACCGAGTAAAAATAATTAGGTTCTTGTTGGCCACGCGCAATATGGTTGCCGTGCAACACAGAGGCGAGGCCGTTGAATAAGTCACATCTTTTCCATCAAAAAGGCACCGGGCTACTTGCTGTTTTGCGAGCAGAACCAATCCTAAACAGCCTCTTTTCCAGTCTTTGTCTGCCGCATCTACGCAGTTGGAATATACGCCCACACACAGCTCATGCCTGACTGTCTAAATTACAAACTTGCTATACAACATCAAGCTGCACTCGAATAATCATCACTTCGATACAAATCCTTTTATCTCTCTTTTACAGCCAGCACTGCTTCGCGGAACAACATCAACGAGCTCTTCCTGACTCCAAGAAATTATCACACTACAAATTATCACAAGGACAATGGCTTCCACTTATAGCCGTACTCGAATCAACAAGGCTCATCCTCAGGATGTAGTCCCTATGGATATAGGTACGTAGAGAACTCCCGTGCACGATTCTCGTGCAAGGCTGACCAGTATGCTCAATCCTCAGATACCGACACTGTCTTCGGGAGAGTAGACACTGTATTCTCGACTCTGGAAACAGATGTTGAGATGACAGATATCTCGGAAGGGGATATGTCTGAAGACGAAGACACAGATGTTGTGATGGACATGGGCGACGAGAACGTCGGTTGGATTGATGAAGACATGGACATGATGGACGTCGATGTGGAAATCAAGAACTTGGATATCGAAATGGAGGATTGTGACTCCCATTACGACGACATGGAAGTCGACAAGAAGTTGGATTGTCTTATGGAGTTAGACTGATTGGATAATGTACAAGGGTTTGGATCATGTACTAAAAGGAAACAAGAGGAGCTGGGGGAGATGCTAGAATGGGAGATAAGGGTGTTGGAGGGTAGAGCAACAAACAGGGGGCAAAAGCTTACTCGGAAGGCGGCTCAAGATCAGCACGCCCTTTCGATATGTTGCTGGAAAGAAACACGAAAGCAACCAGTGACCTGGGGATGGCACTTTTCTCACAGCCAGGAGATCTCCACCTCATTGCAGAGTCTGGCTCTCTAGGTCTATTGTGCAAGGCGATTGTTGCACGACCCCGCGGCCTGGCACTTGGATAGCCCGCCGTTTGCACATCAGGAGCTTTGGAGTTGTGGTTTTGTCCCCAAGACGAGCTAGAATTTTCACCGCCGCGCTATCAGCAATTGACACTTGCCGTTTTCACTTCCACAATGATTTGACTCTTTTCATGGTGCTTGGAACTGTGAATTCTCGACCTTGTCACAACCAGATTTGCACAATACTGCACATCTGGCCTTGTTCTTCTTTCCGAGCCGAGATGATAATCTCGGCGACATCGACAATACTTCTCCAGGCTTTCATCAAGCATCGTCGATGCCAAACATCCAACAATCGTCGTTGCCATCTTTCGCCGATCGCAGAGTCTTGCGCATGACCCAAGCAAGTCTACACTCTTTACAATGTCTAATCCCCAATTCTCAGCCCCTGGCTTCATGCCAGAGTACGACATCACTGCCGCCGCGGCCAAGAGTCCCGTTTCGGCGTCCGCTGCCCTGCCGGTCATTCTTTTAGAGTGGTCGCGTCTGGATTATCAACAGCAATGCTTGGTACTCTCTGCCCTCTCCCGACACTATGGTACATTCTATGAAGCTCATCAAGCGATCAAACTCAACCAACGCCAGATCGATCGTTGGCTGTAAGTGTTTTCGAGCCTCCTTCCTCGTCTCTGCTTCTCTTTCCATTATAATACTCGTGTATTAACATACTATTGATTCAGAGCTCGATATAATGAGGAAAGAGCCCACGAAGAGCGCTGGAACAGCCATCTCGCCCGGCTACGTCAGGATCCCAATCTTCGGGAGTCCAATGAAGAGGGACCAATCCCTCTACAGCTTATTACGCTTGGGGATATTCGGTATTCCGCCCGGTTCCTAGAACAGTTCAACCAGTCAGAGGCTGCTGAATTAATCAGGCCCCAGCAACCCCAACTGATCAAGTGGCCACTGAACATCGATACGGCCTTGTATGATCCATACGAGATGGAATCTGGTTTCGAGCTTAAATCGGATGATGAAGTTGCCATTGACGAAGGCGCCATGTTCGATAAGCCTGAAAATCGTTTTTTTGAGATGGCCTATAATGATACTTACAACGACTACGGCATCGTTGACCACTGCAACCACAATGACGACAACAACCACCAATACCACGGCAACTACCACAACTACGCTGGCTACCACAACGGTCAGAACAACCAGGAAAGTCACTGTGACTATAACAACCACACCGGCCCCAGCGGCCAGGACGACCACAACAGCCACGATGATCACCACAAGGATCTTGTTAATCTTAATAATTACTACGATTATAACAATCCCAACGACCACAACGGCCACGACGACCACGACGATGATAACGACCATAAAAACCCTAACGACCATGATGACCCTAACGATCCCGACAATCATGGAGAATATAGCAACCACAGCGATCATGACCATGATGACCATGATGGCCATAACGACCATAATGACCCTAATGACTACAGCAATCACGACGACCCTGATGATCACGACGACCCTGATGATCACAACGACCATGATATTCACAACGACCATGATGACCACGACGACCATGATGATCATGGAGACTCTATCAATGCGCGAGCAGCATCGATCGTGGAGGAAGAGGAGATGGAAAAGGCCGAGGAAGCTCGAGAAGCCGCGGAGCGAAAGAAGGCCGAGAAGCGTGAACAGGACAAGGAAACCCGTCGAATCTTCAACGAGGCTCTTGCACAGCGCAAGGAAGAACGCCGCCTTGCAGCAGAAGCAGCTAGGCAGGCTGCCGCAGCTGTGCCGGTCGATCAGCTGGGGCGAGGACGACGAGCTCGCCGTGCTACTGTGCGACCAGCAGGAATGCTGACTTTTGAAGAGGTCGAATTGCCCGGCGACGAAGACTGATACCTGATCAGGAGGATACTCATAAATATGATTGATACTGCAAATGAGGAGTATGGACTGCCTCATGAGGTTCTCTAGACCTCCTCCATTTCTGGATGCTCTTGCACAACATCCCAGAGTACTCATGATCCTACCCCAGATATGACAAAGGAGCAAGCCTTGTACTGGTAGTCTAAGCACTGTAATACCACTACTCTTCTACAAATATGTATACCGCACCGAAAAGTGAAACATTTCCGTCGCTAAGTCGAATGACTATAACACTTCCGCTCGTTCTCCATCGTGTTTAACTCAATCCAGCCATTTTTGTGCCAATCGGCTTACCCAAGGGGAATATAATACCGCTAACATAGACAGAAACAGTCCCAGCTAGACTTCATCCATTTCACCACAACTATAAAACTTTGAGAAAATTTATAATAATTCTATTGTTCTTCGCTGTAAAGCCCTGATTACGAATTTACCAAACGCCTTAACCAAATACAAATCTTGTTACGCCCCTAATTCCAGTCACGAAGATGATCGCAACCACTCAGACCAGCATAATTATGGGTATCGTCATAATTCAAAAGACAAACTTTTCCCAGCCTCCGAATTGTCATATCCTGCGCCGTCTAATTACCTTCAATCCGAATTCCTCTAGTAAACAACCAGGTGTCTTTCCTCTATATCTTTTTTACATAATGGGGCAGTTGGGGCGTACTCGACAGTCTCGTCCCCGCTGTTGTATGGGAACCACCATATGAAATGTGTCAAGGTAGTGCGTAATAGTCTACTCTTCCTCGGGAACCTCGATAATGGTCACATAACCAGCTGACTTGGCTGTTTCTGCCTCATCTTGGGGCTCCTCATTCTTGACGCGCTCAACGGAGAAGCACTGCACTGCGCCGACGACAGCTACCAGAGCACTGCCGTACCAGGCTAGAGCGGTAAAGTTCTGTCGGCTTCCGATGGTGTAGAGGTATCCTGCAACGGGCGGCGCAATCATTCGGCAGGCGGCACCGGCGCTGGCGGCCAGACCATTGACCTTGCCCAGCACGGTATTGCAAGGCGTCGCGTCCTTGATCAGGATAAGTAGCAGTGGGTAGAGAATGATGGACAGAATGTTGCGGACCGTCAGGCAAACGTAGATGGACGGATACAACATGGACTCGGGCACATGCAACAGCAGGGGCATGATGAGGTAGGCGACCGGATGCAGAACCGTGACCAGGATGAAGAGCCGAAAGACACCTATGAAGGAGGCCGCAATGGGAAAGATGACGGCTTGCACAAACAGCGCAATGACGCCGTTGATGGCCATGATTACGCCCACGGACTGCATGGACAGACCAAGACCACCAGGGGAGTACAGTGGATTACCGACAGAAAAGGCCCCAGTCCGCCCGGTAAAAGAAGTCATGGGCATCTTTTCGTCCTCGAAAAATATGGGCAGGAGGTGGTCGTAGGTCATTGAGTGATAGGTGAAGATGGACAGAGCCACAATGAGAGCAACGATCCTGTTGGTGAAGATGGTGACTTGGTCACCCTTGTGCAGCTGCTTCAAACATGGCAGTTCACGAGAAAGCTCGGTGCTGTTTCTGGTCCTGAATGTACCGTAGGTCTCGGACCGGATGTCGACGGCTGGCTGCTTGAGGGCGTCCGAGGTCTCGAGGAGTGGTGTCTCAAAGGATACATACGTGTCGTCCGGAAGCATGACTCGAGGGGCCATGTCGGGGTGGGTCTCGTCAAGCAGGAAATAGCCCAAACAAATGCTGACAAGCAAGAGACCAGCGCAGATGAGGTTGGGCAGAAGATAGGGGAACACGTCGAAGAAGCTTCCCTCGGGAAAAGTGTCGGGGAAAGACTTGTGTGGCTCGGCAAAGATGCCACCGATACTTGGCCCAATAATGGTTCCGATAGACCATACAAAAGGCATCACGGCGTATGCACGTGCTTTGAGACAATGTCAGCATAATATGCCCAAAATGATGAGAGAACGAATCTTACGCTCATGCTCCTTCTTGGTGCAAAGTTCCGAGACCATAGTCTGAATGACACCAATATTTCCGTTCAAGAGTCCACCCACGGCACGTCCAGCGAGAGCAATCCAAATGTTTGTGGCAAAGCCGACGAGAATCAGGCTGAACATGGTGCCGATACATCCCATTAGGAGAACAGGTTTCCGGCCGATACGATCAGAGAGCCCGCCCCAGTACATGCCCATGGAGGCTTCAGCTAGGGCAAAAGCCGAGATGAGCAAGCCAGCGTAAAAGGAGGCATCTTGCTCATTGCCAATCTTGAACCGCTTGACCAGCGACCAGGCATATGGAAAGATGGAGGTGAGCGCAATAGGCTCGGCGAGACGGACAATGGCTGTGAGCTGATTAGCAATAGTCTTGTGTACGAGAGTAGAGCAGATGGGTGTGTGATTTGAAAAAAAAAATAAAGTCACCAACCTAGAAGGAAGAGCTGGACGGTCGGGAAGTCGTCAGGATTTCGAGGCGATCTCTGCTTGGTTAGGACCATGGTCTTGTAAGTGAATATCTATCTTACGACAGCTGATGCAACACCTGACGCTTGTAAAGGAAGAATAAAGAGTGCTGTATGTCGAGAGATCCCCTTTCAAGAGCGAGCGAGTAAGCTTCAGGTGCTGAACCGTCCCCTATTTGTGTAGAACTCAGGGTATATCAAGCAGGGACCCGGAGCTTTCTGGACGGTGAATCACGGAAGGTTTGGAAAAGACGACGGGATGATGTTTCTGTGCCTGGGCGTTCTGCTTCTTTGAACGTAGGTGGTCAAGCCACAAAAAATTAAAAAACAATGGGCAGGAATTGATATAGGGAGAAAGAAACCCTAGATCTGTCGTCGTCGATGGCGCAATATATGCGTCTACGGTAATGCAGGATAACGAAAAATAAATAAATAAATGAAAATCGAGAGTTGGATGAGGAAGAAGCAGGGACAGCAACAGATAGATTGTCGTGCATATGCCAGACTGACTGACCCGATTGCACACAGCTATCTAACAACTCGCACCTACCCTACTACCTGCTCACACCACCATGATTGGGGGGGATATTGGTGGCAGGTGCGAAGCGAATTCGGACACAAAGTTTTCAGCAAGTGTCGGCTCATTTAGTGGCTATCGCCTGACCCATGTCACCTGGCAGTGGGATCGGCTAGGCCGTTTGGCGCCGCGCAAGTCGCTGTGAGTTAGGGCAATTGCAAGTACCACATGTACAATAGCGCTGCGTAATAGTATTGCGACATCGCGACTATGGATTATAACACGGAGACTAGGAGTATTCTAACACTCGTTTTGGCGAGTATTGTCCATTATGGAGCTCAGTATAAGCCAAACACGCGCCATAGTTGGAATAGCCGTGGATTGTAATTGATTATTGCCGTCGCATGGAGTGTTGTGAACGCGACTTGATTCTTTGGTGTATGGATGCATGTACATTATCCGATGTCTGATTGATAGTTGGAGAGAGAGATATGGTGCCGCTAGCTTCCAGGGCTCCCATTCGCTATGCAGAGAAGACAGAAGCAGATAAACAACGTGTCTACCCATTGACTTACATGCAAGAAAGTCTCTATCATACAAGGATCGCTCAACCATGCAGGAGTCGTCATCGAGATTATCTAAAGGAGAGGAAGAAGAAATGATGACAGTTTGCTAGGAGATCGCTCGCCCCCCCTTCCGACGTGGTTCTATCAGGTCTCAATGTGGATCGTTGCACTTCTCAACGATATCTGTACACCTGTATGAACGCACACGTGTTAGATGCAGGCCTTGCTTTCTACCTGACTGATGTATACTTTGTGATTAACCATTCGGCATTGCCGGGTTGAAAGATACGGTTCATGTTGACCAACTGGAGAGGATGCACTGGAGTTTTGCATGTGTACAAAGGCTTGTAGCAGTTGAACGATAAGAACTGCCGTTCAATGCCAAAAACTCAAAAGTAAAACAAGCTCAAATAGGAGCAGGCAAAAGAAGACGCTAAGATGAAGTTAGACGAAGAAAGGACCCAAGAGACCAAACAACCAAGCAGCCAGGCTTGCCAGGCTATCGGTATCGGGATCGATGAGTGCACACAGGCTGTCCTGAAACCTTGACTCGGCGGCCGCGATGGATAGTGCAGGCAGAGCCTGAGCTGGGTTCAGTCATCCTTGGGTTGCCCGGGAGTGTGCTCTTACAAACTTGGCGACGGAAGCATGAGTCCGACAAGCACAAACCTGCCAAACAGTGATCAGCAGCCTGTGGTCATACATTCACCGAGTCACTCATGCGTGCTATCTGTTATGTCAATATACACATTGAGATTTGATCAATCCATTGGCCCAGTTGATTCAGTTCAGCACAGACTGATTCTCTAGTGATTGGGATCCGTCATATACAAGTCTTTTACTTTTAGCACAACCCCAGCAGAATACGAAATAACAGGTACGTACGGAGTAATAAGGTAGTAGATAGCAGAACGAACTGACCTAGATCTAGATCCGGGCCAATAGCGAGCGAGGTGAGTTCCTATCGCGGCATCAAAAACATGAGTCTGCCAATGAGGAGACTCGCTAGTCAAAAATCTCTGTCCGGAAATCTCGTCCTAGATCGACTCGACAGTCGGTAGGCTAATGTAGTCGCATCCGCTAAACTTGTTCGAATGCGCCACTGTTGTGTTCTACAGGATGCCGGTAAATGAACCACCCATCCGATCTCTGTTGTGTTTGATGCAACCCAGGCAAGATCCGATATTCGCCACTCGCTTGGTCTCTGGCTTTGAAAATAATTGTTGATATTTTTGCCATGTTCATTATTTCGTTTTAGCATGGAGTATCTGGTCCTTTTCCCCTTCGAATGCTCCAACTCTGAGTTGTTGCTATTCTCGAAACTTGCTCGCGTCTGTCAGAATTAGGTAGTCCACGGGAACTGACATGCGACGGTTCAAATCTTGATCACCATCGAACTTTCAGGCCCGAGACCGGCTCGACAGGCTATCCCGGGCCCCCTTTGAAGCGGTGACAGGCCATGTTACGGAATATTTGCCAACAACCTGGCTCAATATCCTCTCCCTTGGAAAGCATCCTTGATGCAGCTCATGAGTGGTGTTCCTAGCTGCGTATTTTTACCTGTGATCTGCCGCCAAATCATACACTCAGACGTTGCCAGACTTGCGTCCGGGTCATCCCGAAATGACACACACACGTCACCACGATCATCCTTCTGGTGCAGCGCCTACATGCATCACAATTGCGCATCCGCATGAATCAGCGTGCGTCGAGGTTTTGGGCATGTTCAAAAAGGAGAAGAAAAGATATGCCACCGTCCAGAGAGAGAGAGACAGAGCCCAACCGAGCTGCGTAACGATAAGAACTCTTCGGCAGATTCGCCCGGGTGTAGTCAATGAAAGCACCGTATTACACAGAGCCGCGTTCCTTATCTTGAACGGGTGGAAACACAAAGATAATGCAGTGCAACAGCTGCGAAATGCAAGAAGCAGCAGCCCATTCATGTCCCGTTCGCCCTTTTCTGCAATACGACCTTCAGTGCCCAGAGCTCATTATGCAGGCAACCGGCCGACAGACAGACCGCCTACACCTCGGAGTTTGCAGCTGTTGCGGCCCGACGTTGCGCCTTGCCTTTGTTACTAGTACCTACTCTGTATATCGTAGTCTGTGCCTATGTAGGTATCCTATCCAGCGTAAATGTACCACCTAATTAGGCTAACGACATTAACTGTCCGCTTTGGGCATGCCCTATCAACTAAGGTTGCGGGTTGATTGCATATCCTTCTTACTACTCGTCACACCAAGTCCGACTTCAGTGTGCCCTTGTGAAGGGGAGGAAAAAAATCGGCATTGCATCAAAAAGGATACTTTGATGTTGCCTGCGATCATTTCCGGTAGTCTGGTAGCACGTCCCATCCTTTCTCATACACTCCCCTATGGGAACCCAATGATCTCGAGTCATGGAGGTAAGCATAATGGTCATTTCTTGTGTAAGAATGCTCACTACATTATTTTGATTTTACTAGTCTCCAATATGCTACATTTCAACTTTACACAGTTACCAATGCTCCTAGGCAAAAGATAAAAGGGGGAAAATCCGCTGGCCTTGCATGCAAATGGCGTCATGATCGAAACCCCATGAGAGAACACCAAGGCTCTCGCTCTTACGCACCAACAACAGCTCTGTTTCTCATGCAGGTCTCCACCTCTACAGTTGACAACCAACTCATATTGCTCGAAAACCTTGTCACTTCAGAGTGATATCCATGCTCAGCTATGCAAGGGCAGCAAGATGACGGTGCAAAGCATGTCCCCTAGACGAAATTCTCCTATGAGCCTGCAAAGAAGACATCAATCTCCTCGAGAGAGACACCAATTAGACGAGATAACCGCTTCTTCAGCTCATCGACGGTAATCTCGGGTTTCCCCTGTAGAGGGCTGCCTACGTTGATGCTGCTGAGTCGCTGGACGGGATAATGCGCCTGTGATAATCTGCTGGCCGGTAGTCGCTGACGACTCGGCGCTCGGACAGGGCTCAGGCTGGGGCTTGAGTCGGTGGACGACACGGAGAGGATGCTGTCGATGCGCGAGTGCTGGCGTCTGACTGCTGCCATCTTGGGAGGTGAAGTAGACGGCTTGGTCTCTCGGGTTCGCAGAAGAATCGGGTCCGGCGCTTCGGCTTCGTGTATGGCTTCGTCGACGGCCACGGGCAAATCAAGGTCGGGCCAGAGAAATCCGTCATATTGAAGGATACGGAATGGTGCTCCTTCCCTTCCATTCCACCGCCATCCTTCGCCGGCAATGTGGAAATCTGCCAGTGCCGCTGCTGCATGAGTCCTCTCTTGCTCAACACTATGATCCACGCCAACCTTGCTGTTGCATTTTAGAAGTGTCCGAGGTTTAATGTGTGACCCAAGGTTGTCGCTTCTGTCCCACGTTTGTTGCGTAAAGAGCTTGGCAACACTGTTCCTCATGTCAGCCCAAGTCATGAGCTGGAGAGATATGATACCTACTACTCTACTGGAATCGAGTAATGAGCTCTATATTTTGGCCTCATCCTGTGATGTTTCCAGCTCAAGTGCTGCCGCCAAGCAATACCCGCTTTCAGAGTCGGCTCTTCTCTAAACTTGACAGGGTCGCTGATGGGTACAGGAACCCAACCGCCAAAGATCTCGGCAATGAGGCTGCTGCCCAGTTCCATTTCTAGATCTGCGCCGTAGAATGGCTCCGACATACCTCGACTCAGCGACCGAAAGTCTCTCCAGAAGATGGCATGACCAAGTCTACAGCTCCTGATTAGGTCTTTCTTGGCAAGGGCTGTAGTAGACCACTTACTCATGCACTAATGTGATGGCAGTCATGAATGCCGTCAGTATGTATTCCTCACCATCTTTGGGAAGATCCTTGAGCCTCTTGGGGAACTCGGCCATGACCAGCAGTGTCAACTTGCGTTCTTTGCGGTGCGCCCTCTTGGCACGATGATCCCATTCTTCCACAGTACCGCGCGCATCGAGCTCGTCAAGGGCGAGATTGCCCCTCGGATGGCGACATGTATATCCAACCCAACCCTTCTTTTGAAACATATCGGCGTCGAGCTGCCATTCTACCGACCTTGAAAGGCCCCTTTTTAGCTCTTCTGACGCCTCAATGACCCAGCTCCTCTTGAGTTCCTCGGATGCCCAATCGGCCTGGTGGTGTCGGACAATCGTCTGCAACGTTGTCTGCTCACATTGAGGTTGGGGGCATGAACATTTTTCTCTTCCAGGGTAATGTTCGTTGAAGATGTCGTCAATCAGAAAATCCGATATCCACTCCAGACCGGCGTGTTCGACAAGTCGGCTTGCCAACAAGAGAGGCTGCCGTAGTTCTTGGAATAGTTCTTGCTTTGTGTCTGCCCAGTTTGCAAATACCGGATGAATCTCTCCTTCAAGATTGAGACGCCATTTCTGCGTTGTGCCTGTGGATGATAAAAGTCTCCGGATCAGCACGGTATTTTGTCGAAACAGAAACAGCTTTTTACTGATGGCAGATGGTTTGACTTTACCTATAGCTCCACATTGAAGCAGTGCCTCCCTATCCCATTTCTTACCAACGGACCCCGGCTGGGGCTGATGGTTCACGGGGAGCAACCATTTCGCCATGTCCAACTTTTGAGCGATCTGTCAAGCATGACTGGATGATGGAAGGAGCAAAGAATGAGCACGTTCGGAATTCTCTCAATTGACCAAACAAGTTTATACGCATGGCAAAAAGTTCTCGATTCTACGAGAGGGCGGATCAAGGTGAGACAAACCTTATGGACAAAGCATTCCATGAATTGGAACTAGTCTTAGCCTCGCTGCCTGTGGTGTCGATAAAGGCTATGCGCATTCCCTTTTGCATTGGATTCCTGGAAATGACATCGAGACAAGCCGCTGTCATGAGCCTCCACCTCGGCACACCATGTGACGACAGTCAAAAAGCTTCCCTCTCTATTGTCTATCACACTTCTTGTCGCTAGCTATAATCCTAGAGTTTTGACTTAGTAATCCAACATGGTATTACTTCCTCGCAAGGCACTTGTCGCGTGACGAGGCTTTTTCTTAGCTGGTATAGTCCATCTTCTTGTCCCCAATGATGGCCCACATCTCCTCGACAATCTCCTTTTGGCCCGAGGGCGCGCCGCGGACGGCCAGATACTTTCTCTCGTCAATCTCGGGTTTCCAGTTGCCCGGGTTGCCCGACACCATGAGGCCGCCTGCCTCGTGGAGAATGGTCCAGGCGGCGCAGACGTCCCAAGCCCAACAACCACCTTCCCAGTAGAGGTCGAGCTGGCCGGCGGCCACGGCGCACAGGTTCAGGGCCGCACTGCCCAGAGACCGCAGCGAGTGCACCATGGCGCCGCCCTTGGTCTTGGCCAGGCACAGCTTCCGAAACACTTCGGCCTTGAGCTCAAAGTTGTCGTCGTCGCGGCTGCTGCCCCACTCTACAGCCAGCAGCGCCGTGTCCAGGGCGCCGAGGGGGGCGGGCGTCTTGGCCAACGGCAGCTTGCTGACTTTCCCCTTGCCGCCCTCACCCAAACCCCAGGACCGGCCGACCGTCATGTGGGCGCCGCGGCCGCGGATGGCCGTGTACAGCGTGTCGAGGTAAGGGTTATAGACGACGCCAACGGTCGGGACGCGGCCGGCGGCGAAGCCGAGCGAGATGCAGGCGTGCGGGAACCCGTGGACAAAGTTGGTGGTGCCGTCAATGGGGTCGACGATGAAGGTCGGCTCGTCGCCCAGCTTCTGGCCCGGCTGGTACGTCTCCTCGCCCATGAAGGCATACGTCGGGTACTTGGCCCGCAGCGTCGTCGACACGTGCGCCTCGACGGCCTTGTCGCATTCTGTCACGATGTCGGCGGCTGTGAGACGACGCGGAAAGAGCTCAGTGTTAGCTATCTGGCCATAATTTTCATGGTTTATCAGATGCAAGGCCGTTTGTCAAGGGAGAGCATGTCCCAGGGCAGTATAAACCCCTGGTTACATGGGCTTCCAAGTGCATGACGATCCAATTGAGTTGGTGAGAGTTCGCCTCGGCCATTCTCAAACAAACAAGGTCAAGTTTATATGACCAATATGTTGATACATGTCTACTCTCAAGACGTTTGTGCGTGGCACATTCGCCCAGCGTCAAAGTAGCGGTCGCGTCACATTTCCATTGTGGAGGGGCATCGCGGGGTAATTGGAGGTGATGTAAATGCGTGCGTGGGTGGTAAAAAAGTGTGTTTGTAGGTGCTATGAGATGGTCCTGACTTACAATTAAGCTTGGTCCCCTGATCAATATCGCTAGGGTTCGCCGAGAGGATCATACGTCCAGCATCAAAGGCGATCGACACGAGGGTGTCGTGGATATCTTGCAAGTCCAAGTCTGCCATGTCTTTGGGTTTCGATTCTGACAAGTCTTGGTAGTGAGCAAAAGAGTTTCTTCCGAGAATTTGGGCAACAGTGAACCCACTACACAATGTTACAGACAAGATTCAAAGGTGGTCAAGTGAAAATGGTTGTTGCTTTTCGCAATGCTGCTGCTGGTTGAAACACTGCGCTGTTGTAGGCATGGAGAGCGGGCAACTGTGGGACGACTGTGGGGGAATTGATGTAATGCCGCGTCGTGCCCAGCAATGGGACTCTTATTGGCCCATACAGCACGATATTATAGTCCATGGGTCACGAAACTGGAGAGACATGTTTATCCATGGAAATTTATTATATTCGGCAGACTAGATTTGCCTTGAAGTTTCCCGTCCATTATATCACGATAATGCGACATGGTGGTTTTAAACACATGTATTCTCAAAAGAACGAGATGCACGCCGGGTATGAAAGTTTGCATCAATTCGTATAAATTCGAAGTCTTTGTCCGTTTTGCATATCTCATACATGAACGCCTCAACTCCGCATACAACTCTGATACCCATGATGTTCTTCTTGCCATGTGTGTGAATAAATCAGGAAAACTGGAACCCATTTCGCGACTCTCCACCCCCTAAAACTACACAGTATCATTCATGGTCTCTCCACGTCTCTCCACCGTCTCAGAATTCGAACCCCTCTGCCTGCCGCCAGAGTCCTTAGACATTCTCTCTAAAGATGCTTCTCCTCTCTGCTGTCGGACTGTCGTTGAACGGATTCTCAGCCTTTCCATCGTCGTTGGCCATTGGCCGCGGGCTCACGCCTCTGAGACTGATATTGCTAGGCTCCGCTTGGTTGTCATCAAACGGGTTCTGCCTCGTCCTGCTTCCACCCGCCGGTCCTGAGGCAGGAACACCGAGTTCCGGGTCTCTTTCCCGCGAGCGACCCCTCGGCTCATCATGTCCGCCATAAGGCTCCGGGGCGTGTCCCGGAGTCGCAGCTAGGTTCATGGGATATCCGCTGCCGCCGTAGGGGTCGTGGCCGTACGGGTTTCCGCCATGTCGGTCGCCGAGCTCCTGCTCCTCGTAGTAGCCACCATAGGCATCAGCCTCGGTGCCCACGCGCGTGTCCCATGCCTCGTCGGGGTCCAGGGCCCCGAAGCCGCGGTGTGCCCGTCCTCCGGTGCCGGCCGTGGGCTGCTCGTATGCGCCTGCCGCTGACCTCTTGTTGCCGTTCTTCAACTTGCTGAACCAGCCGCGAATTCCTCCGGCGCCTTGGCTGGGTGCGCCATAGGGCGATGCATCAGAGCGGGAAAATGGGTTGTAGGAAGATAGCGATGGTGCAGGGAGCTATGGTTATGCGGTCATGTCAGCATATCTGTACGTGGAATCCCATGGGAAGCCCGAGCGTCGCGGGGCGATAGCAAACGCGTGGCGGGTATTGGCTGACAGCAGCAACATTCATCGTGGGATACTTGCGCATTGGGCCGCCGCCAATGGCAGTAGATCGCATGTTGCAAAACCAAGAAAACGAGCAAGCGCAGGAGCGGCAGGAAGGGATACATACACCTAGTCTCCTTGCTCGTAGCTGTGTGAAGACCACCCATCCGGCAGCCGCGACAATCAGCAGCACGATCAGCACAATGAAGAATATTCCAACGCCGTTCATCTCGGAGTATCGTGATGACGTCCAATGCGGGACGTTGCGATGGGGAGTGAAGCAAGGGTTCGTCGATCGATTGGTCGTGCAATCAATGTGGACGGGTAGATTGTTTGTGAGGTCGCAGGCGTCGATGCCTGATCTGTAGAGATCCGCGCCTCGCTGTTGTTGTTTTTTGGTGGTGACGCTCTCGTTGGGTGGATGAGGCTGTGTTCTTCTGTGTAGAACTTCGTTGCTGCTGATGTGATGTGAACCAAAAAAGACCAGGTTTCTTGCTTACGTCCTGCCCGAACCAAAAGCCCAGTCTCGCACCAACAGTTCGATGTGCGTCGCTACGAGGGGGCTGCTGTCGCTTCGCTTCGGAATGCCGGGATCAGCTCTTGGGTCCAGGCTATTTTGGGCCCGGGGTAGGTAATTAGATAGCTAAAAGGTAAAGCCTAAGGTTATCACTGGTAAGTTAGTGTGCAGTGACCAGAGCAGGGCCAGGGGGGTTTGCTAGAAAAGTAAGCTGTATTTGATCGTAATGGAGAATTTGGGGGCGGGTTCTTGACGTCTCCACTCCGTAAACCTGGACCTTAGTGCTGACCTATGTTGGGCTTTGTGTTCGTTCGCCAAGTGATCCCTGGCACGTTTCAACTTTCTGGGAGTGTTGATAACAGAGCACTTTTCGCCATCGTGTGCGAACAGATGATTTGGAGATGGAAATGATGCACCGAAATTGCCTAGCATGTGCTCCATGAAACATAGAAGACGTGGTCGAAGTCAAACTCCCAAAATGTTGGACACTTGCCAATACACGATTGCTACACACTTGATTTGACTTGGAGGAATAGGCCAAAAGAAAATGGGGAACTACAATGGTGAAAAGTTTCAAGTATTTCTATATGCAGTAGGCGTGGAACCGAATTTCCTAGTCGTCACTCATGATTCAAAACATTGATCCCACAAGCCTCCAGCTCTGGCAAAGCTCAGGCTATCCACAAACTTGCTCAGCCTGCAGCGTCCGAGCTCGTCGGCGTCGCAATTCTGTAGGGGTATCACTCTATCATTGACCAAGATTCTCACCAACTCTTCATCTTCACCTCCGCATGTCATCTTCTCCACGTACATTCTTGATGCGAATGGGACAACCCAACTGGCAGAATAGCCATTTGTATCCTTTGGTGCTGCCTTGGTCGTGTTGGAAAGAGGCTCTGTCAAGTTGTAGAGCCCCAGAGCAGCAAAGATACTCGACATGTCGTTATCGTGACTAAAGTCTGCATACAATGCCCTCTGAAGGGGGAATGTGCTTGGCGAACTGTCCAGTGTCGAGTTGGTGTCTGTGTGGTCCACCACGGGCTGGCCAGTCAACCTTGCGATGAGCTCGTTGACATAACCAACTCCTTGTGTAGGTCCCAATGGATTTCCATTAGACCAGCCATACCACTTGCCAAGGGATTGGTAGTAGTCGTAGCTGTGCCACTCGTCCTTGGAGAAAAGGGAGCAGAATCGTGATAGTCTACCATTCGGGTCGGCCACCGTCTCAAAGGGGCAAAGGTCCATCATGTAAATGGTCTCCTTGAGAGTCAAGTTGGCTCCAGGCAGGTTCTGGTTCAATCTCTCTGCAATTGGCGGTACAAAAATGTTCACCCAAGTCGCCTGCGCCACGGCGCCTACTGCCGTGTTTGGGCTCTCGTTGGCCAGAGTGCAAGCATCATGGCTCAAGGTGTTGTTCCACTCTGGGCCTTCAGGGATTTCGAGAATGTCATACGGAAAGGGATCAGTCGTGTTGGCCTGCTTGTCCTCCAGTCGTGCCTGGTGGAACCCACGGGTCCAATAATCTGCCGACTCGACGACTCTGAACTGACCAGCTGATCTGACAAAGGGCGCATCATCCCGCGTCAGCTGTTCGTAGCGTTTATAGAACTTGATACCGGAATTCACCAGCTCCTGACGACCAAAGTCGGACAACTGGTCAGCTCCGAGGGTATAGTTGTAGGTTTTGATAAATTTGAAATGATGTCCATAATCCGTGACGCTTTGGTGTATCCTTTCGATAAGGGCAGCATAAGCTATGGTGTGGCTCAGCGTCGGATCTCTTGCTCCATGACGAGACAGGATTTGAGCAAATGTCAAATCACAGTCCTTTGGCACGGACCGCGGGATGGAAGAGTGTACTGAATAGTACGGTGAGTACTGGCCCCAGAATTGCGAGATTTCGGGTGTGCAGTGGAAGCCATCCTTTGCGCTGTCGCATGAACCAATCTTGGAAGAGCGCCTGTCCTGATGAGCCATGCTAGTCATTTCACTGATGAGACACTCCAGAGTACTCACATGTATCCAACAGTAAAGTATAGGACAACGCAGAAGATGGTGCCTCCTACCAAGACTTTGAAGATGGACCTGTTGCGGCTCTGTCTGACGATGGCCCTCTTTTCGTGCCCATCGTGCTGACCGTTGATATCTGGCAGAGCGCTGTACTCGTGCGAGTCGCGAGCGAACCAAGCTCTGAGACGATCCATTGTGTCGTGCTCGCTCGCTGAGTGATCAATCAATCCGGCCTTGCTTGCAAAATCCTCCTAATCGCGCACGTAGTTCCCTTCGTGCCGCATCAAACAAACGAGTCGTAGGGTTACAACAGTGGCTGTTTATCGTTTGTTAAAGAACTTCCAGAGTAAGTCCCTGGTATATGAGCTCGAAGAAGGTTGACTTTATGCAACGGGCCGCCGTCGGTGATAAATGTAAAAGATGGGGAGCACGTGGCGTGGCGACCTGGAATTGGCCTGAAGGGTCCCCAGTCATTGCCCCACATATCTTTTGTCAGTCCGGCCTCTGACGTATGTCGTGCTGCTCTTCTTACGGGTATGTAGACTGAGTCAAGTGAAAAAGATTGGAATCATTACTTTTCAATACCAGATGAATCCTACTTTTCATTGAACCATAAGAAATAAAATAAAATAAAAAAACACTCTGTTTCGGCGAGACGAGCCACAGTCGATGTGCTTTATGTAAGGATTGACATGCAAAGTGTCGGTCTGAACTTTGTACATAGTACGACTTTTTAGGTTGGCATTGGCAGATACCGTTTTTATCTCCGCAACACAAGCATTTTGTCTATAGAGCATTCGTTTTCCTTGTTGGTTACTTCCGACGAGCCGCATTTCCCCTTCCGCTTAAATTTACATGTTCGCACAAAATATCAACTGAGGCATTCATAATATGACTATCAGTCAAGGCTAGTCACGGCCTTATCTGATTACATGACTGGACCTAGTCTTTTGGTATATTACCATCCACCAACACCACCATTGAGCAGCAGTGTATCTACAACCACGCCTCCTTGCAAGAGATTCAGACTAATTGCCCCAGTGGCTTTTTGACCGGCATCGTATGTGCCAGTCCAGAGTTGAAACCCGTCCCGCTCGTCCAAATCTGCTTCCCAAGCCCCGGTCCCGGTTACCAATGCTGGTCCCAGGGTCAGTGGTTGCGGAGCAGGTACCACGATTTTTACTGTAATATCTGCCTTGGTAGCTGCTTCGGAGTCTCCAGGCACTGCGACCGTAAAGTTGACTTTCTGCGCATCTGAGAATGTGAGACTAGGGACGATAAAGGGTCCCAGGGACAGTGGAACCACGACGTCGTCTTCAAAATCAGCCACGATTCTGAGGGCCGTTGCATTCGCTAGTTTGTCGCCAGGTGCCGAGAAGGAATAATATGCCGTTTCGCCATAAACGACATCTTCTCCCGTTTCAGTGCTTCCAAAAATAGTGGCACCTTTGTCTTCTTCCCGCTCTGTCTGTAGTGTTTGACTGTTGATTTCGATTGTTGGGTTGCCTGTGGGGTTGTGATTATCCGAGAAGATCTGTGTCCATTGAATTCAGCAGGCAAAGAATTGTATGACCACGCCAATTCCCGAGAACTTACCCTGATCATACCGGACAGGACCAACTTGTCATTGGAATCGAAATCCCAGGTGACATTGATCGGCTTGACGGAAAACGGGGTGATGGGATCGAGTAGTGCAGCAGCAGTTGGCACTGTATCAATCATCCGGCCCAAAACATCGACGCAGACGTCTTGAAAGCCATCGCCAATCTCATACAATCCCTTCATCGTCTTGTTTCCGTCACTCTCGTACAGTCGCAGATCCGAGCGCGAGGTTTCATTGAAGCTCGAAACCAGCGGGCCACCCAATTGCCCGGTGCCGTCAATGTACTCGTGAACCACGCGCGAGTCAAAGACTGCTCGACTGCTGTCGAAATTCTCGCCTCCATTTGTATTGTTGGGGGTCACTGCTAATTCTGGGACTACTTCTGGAAATCCTCCGTGATGAACCGAGCCCTGCTCATATGTCAGACTAGTCTCAGGCACTCAGACCCTGGTGCTCAACTTACCATGGCGTGCCCACAAGCCGTTAATGCAATGGCGTCCTCCCGGTTGAAGCCAGCTCTGTCAAATTCTTCAAGTGTATCTTCCAGGCTTGTGCTCGGTTCTGGTACGCCTGTTGTCGAGTCGGCATGGACAGCGTCGATCCGCCCCGGGCGATGAGGGATGTATTTCCCTCCACAAAGGTTTACTGACATGACGGTCCCGATCGCTACAAGATCCGCCACTATTAAAACCAACATTATTAGCATGTTTCCATCTTTCTTCAACGGACAGTATACATCAAACGCACTCGAGACATGTTCGTTGACAAAGGGCCGCCAGAAAGTGAAGCTGTCGTTGAAGGCACTCCCCTTATTCTCTTCCCTAAACGTCTCAAAGCCAATGGAAGCATCGATGCCGCCAGTGCCCGCAGTCACGTTTCTGGTGACAAAGTCGTGAAACGCGACGCGGATCCATTGCGCCGCCGTCGTGCGGCCCGAGTTGACGGCGGGCTCTCCCACTTCGGTCACGTAGTTGGTACAAGGCGTGATGGCAGTCGAAAAGTTGGATGCGTAAGCGCCCCAGTTGTCGACCAATATGTGCTCGAGGAGAGATACCTGTGCGTTTGGGTAGTAGAACATTGCATTTACATTGCTCAGAGCAAGGAGTGAGAACAATGTGATCCTTTCGTGACGCATCTTGATCGCGGCCGCGAAAATATGTGGTTCTGGCTTCCGCCTATAGTGAATTATAAAAGAAAAGATAGTTCACATTTCGCTCATATTATTGCAGTAGTCTTGATTGATTGATATCTCTATAATCAGGTGTCACGGGGTATTTGTCTTCTGTGCAGTGATAATGCAGGTATGGATGCACGTGTCGATAATCCCTTCGTATTCTGAAGCCAACTACAGGGCATCTCGGCGTACGATTCGTGAGGTGCAAGCCTATAACGCCCAAAATCGTGTCCCGCGCGTTACATTGCAGTAGGGAATAAATGGGGAGTCGACTATTGGTTGTCTGTCCCTTGCCCACCTCCAAAGGCTTACACTACCTGGCTGGATAATTTCGCAAACTTGTCCCTTTACCTGGTCAGACATTATCTTTTTTGGTATAAGAAAACTCAGCTACGAGTATCAGTGCATGTTTTGCCCCTTGCACACCCCCCCTCGTGCATATTTCCATGCAGTGAGCCTGCATCGCTTGGCACTTATAGTCTAGGTTGTTTGTGTGCTTACTGAGCCCCCACGAAAGGTCGCCAAAGTCTCGAAAATGGGATGTCCAGCATATCGAGAAGCTGCACTCGGGAATTGAAGAATCGGACCTCGCTGAAGATTCAAGTCCGAGAAGAGTGTCTAGTGCCCGAATTGAGATTTGGTCCCAGGTAGTTTGATTCGGCCAAATGTCTATGGCGTACCGAGCGGATGTAACACTGGTAAGGCCGGGACTATGCGTGCCCAGCTAGGGAATCTAAAAGCCGAGTACAGCCAAGTACACTGAATTGAATCATCGTTGATGGATTGATACAGATATGGTGGAAATATAACATCTAAGGTCCAAATGTTCTTGAATTGAACATTTTCAAGATCTCAAGAACTATAATCAGGGACAGGGATACACCATATCACGACTCGACAATCTATTTCTCTTGACATGACTGCCTCGAACCGCATCGAAAAGGTGGCCATCGTAGGTGTAAGCAAATCTTTGTATGGAAAGAATAAAAACAGCATTGGGATATTGTAACGACGGCTGATACGTACCCCACTACCATAGGCTTCCGGGCACAGTGGCAGCTTCATGACCAACGCCCTGCTCGAGACTGGCAGACACCAAGTCACGGCACTCACCCGAGTTGACAGCGAGAGCAAATTCCCCGATGGCGTGGTGATCAAGAAGATCGACTACAGCCGGCCCGAGACCCTTGTGGACGCGCTTAGAGGCCAGGACGCCCTGGTCATTACCCTGAGCGGCCACACGCCCAAGGGGACCGAGCTGCAGCTCGTCAATGCCGCAGGAGAGGCCGGCGTACCCTGGATTCTACCCAATGAGTGGTCTCCAGACACAGCCAACGAGGCGCTGGTCAAGGATGTCTTTGTCTTTGAGTTCAAAGGTATGTGGATTTCATAACTTGTACGACACAGGTACGATCATGATATGAGTCAGCTCCTTTTTAACAATTTCATCTTCTATTTGCAATAGTGGCCACGCGCAAAGCCATTACAGAGCTAGGCAAGAGTTCTTTTATATCCGTCTCAACTGGCTTCTGGTACGAGTGGTCACTGGCCATCAAGCCCGCATACGGCTTCGACTTTGACAGCAGAACCGTGACCTTTTTCGATGACGGCGAGACCAAAATCTGCACAACGACGTGGCCCCATCTGGGACGTGCCGTCGCTGCTCTGCTGAGCCTACCCATTCAGGCCGAAGGGGGTGACGACAAGGCATGTCTGGACGCCTTGAGAAACCAGGTCGTCTATGTCAACTCGTTCAACGTCAGTCAGAGGGACATGCTCGAGTCAGCTCTTAGGGTGACTGGCACTCGGGAGAGCGACTGGACAATCACAAGAGTGTCTGCTGAGCAACGATACGCCGATGGTGTCAGGGAAATCAAAGAGGGTGTCCGCGTGGGGTTTGCCAAAATGATGTATACTAGGGTATTCTTTGCTGATGGTTGTGGCGATTTTGAGACGAAGGGCACCATCAATGGCGTGTTGGGTTTACCAAAGGAAGACATGGACACGGCTACCAGAGCCGCTATTGAGCGGTCAAAAGGTCCTGTATGGGTGTAGAGAACTGACTTACACGTGAAAGATAATGCTTTTCATAGCACACGAGCCGGCTTCATTACAACCTCATAGGACAAATGAGTACTTACGCTTGGCGACCTTTATATTTTATGGTTTACTAGTGAAGCTATACTCACTCGATGGTTCATTTCGTCACGTCTTATCAACTTGGAAGAAAAAGAAAACGGCCACCGGCAAGACATCTAACAAGGTTCAAGAGTGCATATGCATATTCTATTCTAGAAGCTCAGAACGGCGGATTGGATTTCTTTTTCTCTGCGGCCGGGCCATATTTATGTGTCTGGATTCGATGAAGTTGAAGACAATCAGCCTATCAACTTATGTTCGTAGTTAGAACCCCATGCCCTTTGCTGAATATCCTGGCGAGCCACGGCTGGCTTTGCCATGATTGAATCAATACCAGTGGGGATTCTTCTTCTTCCTAGCAGTGGCGAGTTTGAACATGGATAATGGCGCAAGTGAAGCATTTCGGAACGCCATGCGGGTTTGTCTGGGATTATGCAGGAAGCGCGTGCCCCCAGGTCCCATTCTCACGCAAATCAAACTTGCTCTCGGGTTATTTGGGACAGCAGCTTGGGTTCTGCGTCCTACTAGGCCCGGGGTAGCAATCTTAGGTAGGTTTGTGAATCAATGAAATATGACCGCGCAAGAACCCCAGTGGAATGATATCTGTTCTTAGGTGGTCCTGGGACTAGATCTATTTTCTCTACTCGTCTAGCAATCCTTTTACTCCAACTCAATTGTTCCTGTTTCTAATTAGTGACTGCATATGAAAACGAGGGTTTCAGGAGGTAGCGGAATCATACCAGGAGGCTTGCCAGTGTAGTCGTACACGACCCTGGTAATTCCATGGACCTCGTTCGGGATTCTGTTTGCGATCTTGAGGATCAATTTCGAGTCAAATGCGTAAGGCTCAGCGCTCATAAAGTCAACGCTGCTCACAGCACGCAGGATGCAGATGTATCCTGAAACAAATGTTAGCCTTTGATAGATTATCTCATTGCTTTCTGCCACAACTTACCATATTCACGGCTGTCACCCATGACTCCAACAGCTGTGCAATCAAAAGTCAGTGATGCTCGGGACGGTTTATGTCATCAAAAGTATCGTTGCCGCAGGCGGGAACCATCCTGTCTGGAAGGCACCAGTTCACTTACCTCTGCTCGTGTCGAGGGCAGCAAAAGCCTGGGACATCTATGTGCAGTGTCAGTGGTCAGTCTGTGCTTGGAACGATTAAAAAAATCTTACCTCGTTGTAGATGCCGGCCTCCCGAATCGAGGAGATGAAGATGTGGTCGGCCTGCCTGACAAGCTCAACACGCTCTGGTGTGACCTCACCAAGGATTCTGATGCCGATACCGGGGCCGGGGAAGGGGTGGCGCATGATGAGCTCCTCGTGAATGCCGAGCTGACGGCCGAACTCACGGACTTCGTCCTTGAAGAGCTCCCTGAGGGGCTCGATCAACTTGAGGCCCTGGCCGTTCATCATACGAGCTGGCAGACCACCAACATTGTGGTGAGACTTGATTGTAGCCGAGGGGCCCTTCCAGCTCAATGACTCAATCAAATCCGGGTAAAGAGTACCCTGAAGGAACCATTCGACCTTTCCTGCGTGGGGAGTGTGCTTGGCCTCCTCCTCAATGCGGATCGCCTCCTTCTCAAACAGATCGATGACTACTCAAGTTAGCACTTGGAAACCAACTTTTCTTTTGCAACGGCCACTTACAGGTTCCTCCAATGATCTTGCGCTTGGCCTCGGGCTCAGTGACGCCGGCAAGGCGACTAAAGAAAAGCTCTGCACCATCAACGATCGTCAAGTTGATGTTGAGATGGTCCGACAAAGACTTCTTGACCTGTTCACATTCGTTGAGACGCATCAAGCCTATTGATTCTGAGTGAGAATAGCCTGGAGAAGTATGTGGGAGTGCGCCTTACCAGTGTCCACGAGAATGGCGTGGAACCGATCGCCGATGGCCTCCTTCATCAGACGGGCTGCAACCGTGCTGTCGACACCTCCAGAAACAGCGCCGATAACCTGGGCATTCTCGCCAACAAGCTTACGGATGCGGATAATCTCCTTCTCAATGAAGTTCTCCATCTTCCAGTTGTCGCGAGCCTTGCAAATCTTGGTCGCAAAGTTGCCAAGAATATCCATGCCGCGCTTTGTGTGGGAAATCTCGGGGTGGAATTGAATTCCTGTGAAGATCTCAAGTTAGTGGTTGGCGTACATGGGCTAAAGCGGTCAAGGGACAGATATAGCCATTTTGTCGACGTGAGACTGGAGGGTCAAAATGGGAGACCAACCAAAGATGGGCTTTTCCTTGTGTGCGATGCCAGCGTAGGGAGTGCTCGGCGTGCTAGCAATCGTGACGAAACCCTCGGGGAGGTGCACGAGCTTATCAAAGTGGCTCATGGTGACTAAGGATTGTCAGTATATGATCGCAAAACCTTGTGACTTCGAGACTCACCCTCGGTATTTGCTTCCACACCCTCGAAAAGACGGTTGACGTGGTCCTGCTGGCCATCAAGCGTGAGAATGTCGACATCTGTCTGGCCATACTCGCGCTTCTCGCCGCGCTGAACGTTCTTGTCATTGATACGCCAAGCAATTTCCTGGCAACCATAGCAGATTCCGAGAATCGGAACTCCCATGTCGAAAATTGCTGGGTCAACGTGAGGAGAGACCTCGTCGTAGACGGAAGACGGACCTCCGCTGAGAACGATACCAACGGGCTTCCAGGGCAGGTCAGCCAGCTTGGTGGTGCAGGGCAGCATCTCAGCATAGACATTGAGCGAACGCAGACGTCTCAAAATGAGATGACTGGTCTGGCTACCGAAATCGAGCACCAAGATGGTCTTGAATGATATTCAGAGTTAGCGGTTGGTGTTTTGGCATACAAAGTCGGTATTGATCAAACTCACGTCGAAGGTACTGTGAGGCGCGGCGACCTCTTCGAGCTTGGCGACCATCTTGAAAGGATTTGAAGAAAAGGAAGGAGAAAAAGAAGGTCGAAGTGGTATACCAGCAAAGACGCAGAATACTGCTATGGGCTTTGCTTTGGGAGGTGTTTTCGGTAGCAGAAGACCTATTGTACTCTGTATGAAATTGTGGTTTGGAAAACACCCCGCCAAAAACAATCACTGCCCCTCCACCGACACGCACCGCCCGCTATATATCCTTGGGCGAGTCTAAGGAAAATTTTTAGACTGAGTCAAGTGGTTTTTGGCCGTTCGCTCCATTGACCAGTGTGACGCAGCCAATAGCGTCTAGGCTGATGCTCCATTGAGTCACTGATAAGAGTTGCGATAAGCCAACATGCCGCCTAAATGCTAACGTAGGGCGTTACAGCAAGCCTCACTATTACTGTTACCAGCTACCGCAGACTGTACCCATGGAACACTTGAAATCACAAACTCCGTGCTGTTATACAGACCATGATAAATGTCGAGAAAATAATCAAGAATATTGCTTTTATTCAAATACTGATCGCCTTGTGAAAAGCTGCTCCTCGCTCACTTTTATAATTACAGCCAAGCTTCGCCAACGGAATCGGAACACTTGCAAGTGGACATATTTACATGCTTGACGCGAAGGGTGAATATTCCGCGGGCATGAAACCATTGATGGGCACGCAGAGATCGTGAGTTTTGTCATTCGTGAACGCTAGCAACTATTCAACCAGTGATTCCTTGGCACAAGTTACTGCTCGTAAATGCAGCTTGACCGGCAAGTTGACTCATTTGTCACTAGAAGGTGCCAGGAGCTCGTTCGGACCGCCGACGATAAATTCATAGTCGTATTCAAGTCCTGATTATTTACAATTCATTTTCCGTACACTCTGGCAGCTCAATTCGACCAGCAAGATTGTCGAATTCCGGAAAACTTTGACATGGATCCGGGGTGTAGTGCATTTCCTTCTATCAAAACTGGCAAAATACTAAATAGCATTATGGTTTTCTGGAAAATGTGTGGTAACTTCCTTACCCCCCCCC